TCTCCTGTTCTCCTCTCCTCACCTGTTCTCTTCTCTCCTCTCCTGTTCTCCTCTCTCCTCACCTGTTCTCCTCTCTCCTCATCTGTTCTCCTCTCTCCTGTCCTGTTCTCCTCTCTCCTCTCCTGTTCTCATCCCCTTCCTCTCCTCACCTGTTCTCCTCTCTCCTCTCCTCTCCTCTCCTCCTCTCCTGTTCTCTTCTTTCCTCTCCTGTTCTCCTCTCCTCACCTGTTCTCCTCTCTCCTCTCCTGTTCTCCTCTCTCCTCACCTGTTCTCCTCTCCCTCACCTGTTCTCCTTCTCTCCTCTCCTCCTCTACTCTCCTCCTCTCCTCTCTCCTCTCCTGTTCTCCTCTCCTCACCTGTTCTCTTCTCTCCTCTCCTCCTCTCCTCTCCTGTTCTCCTCTCTCCTCTTCTGTTCTCCTCTCTCCTCTCCTGTTCTCCTCTCTCCTCTCCTGTTTCTATCCCTCTTCTCCTCACCTGTTTCTCTCTCTCCTCTCCTCCTCTCCTCTCCTCTCCTCCTCTCTCCTCTCCTGTTCTCCTCTCTCCTCCTTTCCTCTCCTGTTCTCCTCTCTCCTCCTCTCATCTCCTGTTCTCCTCTCCTGTTCTCCTCCTCTCCTCTCTCCTGTTCTCCTCTCTCATCCTCTCCTCTCCTCTCTCATCCTCTCCTCTCCTGTTCTCCTCTCTCCTCCTCTCCTGTTCTCCTCTCTCTCCTCTCCTCTCCTGTTCTCCTCTCCTCTCCTGTTCTCCTCTCCTCACCTGTTCTCCTCTCTCCTCTCCTGTTCTCATCCCCTCCTCTCCTGTTCTCCTCTCCTCTCCTCCTCTCCTCTCCTCCTCTCCTCTCCTGTTCTCCTCTCCTCTCCTCTTCTCCTCTCTTCTACTGTTCTCCTCCTCTCCTGTTCTCTCCTCTCCTGTTCTCATCCTCTCCTGTTCTCCTCTCTCCTCTCCTGTTCTCCTCTCCTCTCCTGTTCTCCTCTCTCCTCCTCTCCTCTCCTCTCCTGTTCTCCTCTCTTCTCCTCTCCTGTTCTCCTCTCTCCTCCTCTCCTGTTCTCATCTCCTCTCCTGTTCTCATCTCCTCCTCTCCTTTCCTGTTCATCTCCTCTCCTGTTCTCCTCCTCTCCTCTCCTCTCCTCTCCTGTTCTCTCCTCCTCCTCTCCTGTTCTCCTCCTCTCCTCTCCTGTTCCTCTCCTCTCCTGTTCTCCTCCTCTCCTCTCCTGTTCATCTCCTCTCCTGTTCTCCTCCTCTCCTCTCCTGTTCATATCCTCTCCTGTTCATCTCCTCTCCTGTTCATCTCCTCTCCTCTCCTGTTCTCCTCCTCTCCTGTTCTCCTCCTCTCCTCTCCTGTTCTCCTCCTCTCCTCTCCTGTTCTCCTCCTCTCCTCTCCTGTTCATCTCCTCTCCTCTCCTGTTCTCCTCCTCTCCTCTCCTGTTCATCTCCTCTCCTCTCCTCTCCTGTTCTCTCCTTCTCCTGTTCTCTTCTCCTCTCCTCTCTCATGCACTGTCGTGTGTCTGTGTGTCTTGGCTTCTTGTCTCTAGATGTGATGAGTGGTCGACTGATATATATATAGAGATGTTCATGCAAGTTTAGTGAGCTGTAATTAGTTGTCATAGTCGGTCTGTATAATTAGCCTGGATCTTGTGAGAAAATAGAAAAGGAACTGCAGTTTACCTGAGAGTCTGTCTGTCTGCTTTCACCCGTCTCTTTCTCTCCGTCCCTATGTGTCTTTCTGCTTGCCTGTCTGTTTTCTACAGTCTCATCATCTCATATCTGAAGTTTTTCCATTGAGAAGTGTTATTAAAAGTCAATTGGCAGCTCATAGTGTTGAAATAGACACTCAGTATTGTGTTTATTTGAGGCTATTGGATCATGTTGATATTTACTAGGTGTGTGTTGGACTTAAAGCGTTGCTGCACAGACCTATCGGTGTGTGAAATCAAAGTACAGCGAGAGTGTTTCGGAAGTATACAGAGCCGTCTGCTCTCTAATCGCTCACGCTGTACTTTGATATCACACACCGATCGAGTCCAACACACCTAATGTGATCATAACTGTGTGAACTGACTTCATACATATACTGAAAAATCACAGAAACAAGCTTATTCATTCATACACATTGAAACTGCTGCTTTATGTTTGCATGTGTGATTTAAGAGGCCAGATGTGTTTTAGGGCCACAGTGCATGCACAAGGATGTCTATTTGTGAGATGTGTGTATTTACGTCAGGTTTCATCGGTTCAGCTTTCTGTCTTTATCTTTGTGTTTACTTTTTTAAGGTGCACATGCATGTACTTGTTTGTTTTCTTACCGCTTGTGTGATCAGGACTCAGTGTGTGTTTAAACACAGAACTAAGCACGCAATGAGCCGATTGACCCAATGAAAGCTATGCTAAATGAAGCTCCTCCCACTCCCCTTTAAGCTCCTCCTCTCCCTCATATTCTGTTCTTTATAAGAGTGCAATATGTTTTTGGAATGTTTTACCCAGAATGCACCTTTCTGAATGCCCTACCCAGTATCCAGTCAGACAGGACCTATCTCCTATCTCTCTCTCTCTCTCTCTCTCTCTCTCTCTCTAGAACATGTCGGTGATGGAGTCACAGAATAATACGGATGACATCTCGCCAAAGAAGACAACAGTGTTCAAGGTGTGTGTGAAATGTGCCTGATTCTATGCCTAATTTTATGCCGTTTTCATGATGTAAAATCTGTTCCGGTATATTACCGGTAAAATGTAATTACTCAGTGACCCAATTCAGATATCACAACATTAAAAGTGACATCATCTTTTATCACCTAAATAGCCCTAATCAGACAGTAATTGTTTCTCATGAGGTTGGCAGGTATTTTCAACACTTACAGGAAGTAGTCTGTGATTTTATTGCTGTTCGAATCCAGAATATCTGTGTTTCTCTCCCTCATAAAAATCAGTGTTATTATCATTAACTAAAAACTTAAACTACATGAAAATGAGAAAATATTTTTATATTTACCATTAAAAAATTTGATGGCTTTAGTTTAAGTACTAAAATAACTAAAACTTAATAAATTACATAGACATATTTTTAAGAGTCAATAATATTAACAAAAATTGTAATAGTAAATCAATGATACTAAAATAACACTGATAAAAATTCCTGGCCAAATTACTTGCTTTTCTGTGACAAACTCCAAGGTCATCTGGTAATTTAATTTCTGACCGAATTTATAAGAAGGGATCAATTGAGCAAAGTACGGTAACTCTGGTGCTTTACGGTAATGTGCATGCATTTTAAAAATATACTTTTATTTCTGAAAAACGGTTTACAAGAATAATAATACATCACTATGCCACTACAGTTAATGGGAGCTGTTAAGAAGAACAAAAAGGAAAAATCGCATACATTTTTGAAACGAGCCATTATTATGGCAGCAACAGGTATGCATTACGTTTTAGTTGACAAAAGTAGCCTGGTCAAATGTTTATTTTTTCTTATGCAAATAAGAGGTGGCATTAACTTATTTCTGCTTATTTCCAAATTTCCAAATTTTAAGAGAAAATACAAGACAAAAAACATTTGAAACATGGCGTATCAATTTTCCTATTATTAGATCGAATACATAAATAAATGTGTCTGACCACCAGGGTTATTACCGCTAACTAAAATTAAACTATTAAAACATTTTTGTTGAACTAAAGCTGAAATAAAATAAAATATTTAAATATTAAATGAGAAAAACATTTCAGTTAGTTGCTAAATTTCTCATTTCATTTAGATACAACACTAAAATTACTGACACGAAATAAAATAAAATAAAAACAAACAGTAATATTAAAAGAAAAACTGACAAAAGCACATACTAAAATTTTAACTTCAATTAAAATGAAAAATGAAAATATAAAAATCAATGCTAAGTATGATTAAAAACAATAATAGTCTATAAAACTAAAATAACACCGCTGATCACATGAGAAGTGAATTTCTGGATTTGTGGACCACAAAACTCACTTCTCCACCATGAATAAATCCTCATCCAAACACATGATCATAGTTTTATCACTGAGCTATGAGAAACAATTGGCGTCCGAATCAGGCCACATATGCAAATAAAGAAACTTGATGACCTAAATATAAACTCAACCTCTGGTTTGAACCGAGTGTGAAGTTTTGGCAAGCTTGTGTTCTCACTTTCACTCAGTCGCGCTGTTGTTGTCCGTGTGTCCAGTTAGGGAACGGGTCAGTGGCGGGATCGAGAAAGAGGCCGTCTCAGGGGAACTACGAGAAGGAGAAAGATCTGTGCATCCAGCTGTTTGATCAGTGGTCAGAATCTGATCAGGTGGAGTTCGTGGAGCATCTGATCTCACACATGTGTCATTACCAGCACGGCCATATAAACTCGTACCTTAAACCCATGTTACAGAGAGACTTCATCACCGCGTTGCCAGGTAACTAAACACATGCACACGTACCCTAAACATTGGCTATAACAAATCCTCCTACTCCAACACACGCATTAGCAGAGTCAGAAATGTGACTGTCGGCATGCAGCCAGAACCACCCTCTTACATCACTTCACTTACACAGACATCTGATAACATGTAATGTCAATCTTTTTATGATTTATGATAACAAAGGATCGGATGTGCAATACAAGTGGTAGTTTAATCAGATAATGACGTAAAAATGGTTCTACTGACGTTGACTTTGAGGTCAGACTTCAGTCATTTAAGTAATAATAATAAAAATATATTATTTTACAGTCATAACATAAAGTTGTGGTCATAAGTTTACATGCACCTTGCAGAATCTGCAAATTGTTAATTGAGATATTTTCCCCAAGTTTTGGTTTTATTTTATTTTTTAGCACAAATACAATATTAAGAGTAACAAAGCATATATAAACACAACAATATATATATTGTTTACATTTTTTTTAAGAGGGATCATCAACAACAACAAATTGGCATTGTGTACATCTACAAAATGTTTAATAGCTTATTCAAGGCTGCACTAATTTAAAACAAAGTGCACAGTTTACAATCCTTATATAATACAAAAAATAATCCTTTCATTTTATTTATAAAAAAATACATTTTGCAAGTTCTGCAAGATATGACTGCAACTGTATGATGTCATGAAATAGAATACAATGTTCACTTGTTATGACGTTCCTCAAATCATCAAGGAAGCTCTTCCTCTGTAGCCTGGTTAAAACCAGACCATTCTCAGTTGTAACTGAGTTATGGTCTGGCAAAGCTTCATAGACAAATCATTTCCAAAGGGGCGTCACCAACGGACGTAGCTCAAATGCCTCTGGGTGCAATAGGCTTTATTCCGAGCGTCACGTGACCAAGCCGGAAAACAGATCACATCGCTTCCGATTCAGGTCTTTTGTATGTGCTTCATGAATTTTTTTTCCGGTTTTACTCAAGACAACTTAAAAGGAGCAAGCAAAAATGATCACAACCAATGTCCCTCGCATGTGCAGATTGATATTTAAAAGTTTTTTAATTTTTCTTCTGCACACTAACGTTTAGATATTTAAATAGCATAAAACACCAATAACAAAGTGAACTTAGTAGGTTAGCTGATTACCTTAAAAATCCATAGATATCGTAGTTAGTTCTTACGGCCGTTAACACTTTCTCTGACAAGCGGATGCAATGAGACCTGTTTTCCGGTTTGGTCACGTGACGCTCGGCATAAAGCCTATTGGATAGACTTAAAACCAATCAGAGCGATGAAGGAGATGACGTATGCAGAGCGACGTTCGTCTGTTATAGAGCAGACACTAATTGGCTACTTGCTCTACGTTTATTTAATATTCACAGCAAGACAACTAGAAGTGAATGTACTTTCCATTAAATAAATCACACACAGTAAACAAAACCTTAAAGTCCCTTTAAAGGCAATTCTAAAAAAAAATCTAAACCCATTATAAATGTTAGAAATGTATTGCTAAAACATATTACAAAGACTGTGAACTGTGAAGTACTGAATTGTGGAGTTAGACCATTAAACAGTTTTTCACCATTGCTATTTTCCGGGTTTTTTGGGCGGGGCTAAAACGGGGCTCGATGACGCACTGGAGCCCCTGACCTCGTGGACACGCCCCTACTTGATGACGCACTGAGGCCACTGAGGCTGGCTCCTCCCCTAACAATAGAGCACATTTGCTTCAGTTTGGCGCTCAATCGCGAGTTACTGTACTATTAGTTACTACAGCCTATGGTTTGCTAGCTAGCTATGCCTTCGACACGGAAATGCGTAGGCTACTACCTGGATGCGATCATGTACAAAACAGATCGGTGTCTTTATTTAAATTCCCTAAAAACGACCACATCAAGAAGAGCTGGATTAATTTTTTGAAGAGCCAACCTTGATGGAGAGCTGAGGATCACCGCCAACACCCGCCTCTGTAGCGATCATTTTACACGGATAGTTTTATATACTTTCGTCGGAGACAACTGGGATTCACTGATAATCCGCTGTTACTGGTGAATGGGGCCGAACCGACTATCTCCCGCCTCGGCCTTCATCTCCCCGTCCCGAAAGCAGTATCACCTAATATCAGCGTTGGCAGCTTTCCCGCGAGTGGGCGTGGTTTCAGCGCAGCCAGCGGACACGCCCCCAGCGTTTGAGAGCAGAGAATACTGCTCATTTTTTCAAGATTTTGATAGCTTATTTTATGTACTTGCCGGCTTTTTTTATCATTCAAATTTGGCTGGGTGGCTAATAACACATTTTTCTGTGGTGTGACAAACTCAGAACACATACTTAATTTTGACTTTACAGGGACTTTAACAAAAAAAACTTTGCAATGAACTTTGCAATTTAGACGCGCAAACTGGGTGCCGGTGCGGTGAGACGTACATGCTCGGGCAGATTCGGCTTGAAGTCGTTCATCCTCGGACGCGGCGCCGCGCGCTGTTACAAAAAAAGCCGTACACATAGCCAAGCGAAATGGGGTCTTGCCGGTCTTGCGCACCGAACGTGGCATTTTTGCCGCGCGCACCTTCGCACTCGTGCGGACGCGTCGAGTATAAACAAGGCTTTACTCCGTGTCAGCGCGCGCTCTGATCGGTAAAGGGGCAGAGATTTCAGACCTCCGTTTAATTAAGGAGATCTCAAAGATTTCTCTTCATGGAGGGGGGGGGGGTGCACAGACCTCTACCGAATCATCTCCAGCACTCAGCCTCCGAAGCACCACTAACTCCGCCTCCGTTTCCCTAGTAAGCTGATATTAGTATTTAAACATTCTCTATGATTATACATTTTTGTGAAAAAAATATTTTTATAACATGGTTTTGGCGGTTATAGAGTTCTAATGACGGTGTTCAACTATAACCGTCACACGTCTAGTTCCACAGCGGCATCCATCTTTGTAAATGTACAAAATCTACTTCACAGTCGCTGTGCTGTCGTCATCGTGTAAAGCCCGCCCCAACGTTTCTGATTGGTGCCGCGAATTCGACGGATTAGAAATGGCCTTGAATGAGCTCTTTGCTAGACTAACTTGCAGAGCAAATCTAAATTTGCCGGAAGTTGTCTGGGTTTTCCCAGGCTACTTCCTCCGTGAAGAACCTGCACCGTATGACTGCGAGTGTGTCTCAATCAGCTCCTAGGTCAGTAGTCAGGGCACTGATCAGGGAGTCAGACATTTTAAGGGCCTTCTCAATTGCTGAATCCTTCCAGTGCGCTAAAAGCACCCTGAGAAGTCCCACAATGCACCATGAAAACTAGCGAAATGCTCACTTTTCCTTAAAGTTCTGAAGCGTGAAACACGAGCCAACTCCCAACACATAACGACACAACAGATGTTTTTAAAAATACAAACCATCATTTTATTATATTTCAGCATCAACGCACATCGCTAGACAGTTAACGAACATAATCTAGCTAACATTTCTAATTTATCTACGGCTGAAATGTTGCATGTATATGTAACAAGCAAAGTATTTATCGTAATGTTATCTAAATAACATTTACAAGTAATGTCAGAAAGATATCAGCTCTGCTGTTGTTCATAAATACCAGTAGTAATGCTGTACAATGAGGACGTTTTCACGTCGCCGAGTCATCAGTGTCCCAATGTGTAGTGAACCCACGTCCTTTACTGTCCTTACCTGTCCTTACCGAATTCGTGAACATGATGTGACTGATAGTCACCGTGTGACCACACTGAATCTCACTTCATCTCTCTGTTTCTAGCTCAGGGTCTGGATCACATAGCGGAGAACATCCTCTCGTTTCTAGACGCTCGTTCTCTGTGCTCAGCTGAGCTGGTCTGTCGAGAATGGCAGCGGGTCATATCAGACGGGATGCTCTGGAAGAAGCTCATCGAGAGGATGGTGCGCACGGACCCGCTGTGGAAAGGCCTGTCAGAGCGGCATCAGTGGTAAAAACACACACACACAGACGCTCATTTGCATTGTTACGCTGAACGCACGTGTTTAAAACTGTGCAATCTTTATTTAAACTCTTTATTGTCGTTGTACAATGAAATTATTAGTCATGAACACTAAAAAAGATCATTTTTTTAAGCTTACGTGTTGGGTTCAGCAACACATTTATATGACATAGTATATATACGTGACATTATATATATACATATATACAGTGGGGCAAAAAAGTATTTAGTCAGCCACCAATTGTGCAAGTTCTCCCACTTAAAAAATGAGAGAGGCCTGTAATTTTCATCATAGGTACACTTCAACTATCAGAGACAAAATGAGAAAATAAGTATTTGGTCACCTACAAACAAGCAAGATTTCTGGCTCTCACAGACCTGTAATGGTGCGTTCACGTGCTATGGTAATTATGGTAAATACCAAAAGCCGACATGGAAAATGCACATGAACACCCCCTCATGTGGTATTTTCCACTGGGCAACTCGTAGAATATTTTGATGCACGAGTTGCCGAGATGAGATTACCTTTGACCTTTTCAAAATGGCAGAGAGCAACGCAAGAGTTGTGAATGGTAAAAATATGTACTATTCATGATCTAGAAAATATACAGCATATATTATTTACGTTTGAGTTTTGATAAATCATTTTCTTGCTGTAGCAGATGACTTAAGCAATCTAAAATAGTTTTAGCTAAATAAGAGGTCTGGATCTCCATCTTTTTACCACATTACGACAACAAAAGCACTTGAACGCAACACACTGGTAAATACCAGTTCACAAGTGGAAAATATCATATTTTCCATAGCACGTGAACGCACCATAACTTCTTCTTTAAGAGGCTCCTCTGTCCTCCACTCGTTACCTGTATTAATGGCACCTGTTTGAACTTGTCATCAGTATAAAAGACACCTGTTCACAACCTCAAACGGTCACACTCCAAACTCCACTATGGCCAAGACCAAAGAGCTGTCAAAGGACACCAGAAACAAAATTGTAGACCTGCACCAGGCTGGGAAGACTGAATCTGCAATAGGTAAGCAGCTTGGTGTGCAGAAATCAACTGTGAGAGCAATTATTAGGAAATGGAAGACATAGAAGAGTAAGACCACTGATAATCTCCCTCGATCTGGTGCTCCACGCAAGATCTCACCCCGTGGGGTCAAAATGATCACAAGAACGGTTAGCAAAAATCCCAGAACCACACGGGGGGACCTAGTGAATGACCTGCAGAGAGCTGGGACCAAAGTAGCAAAGGCTACCATCAGTAACACACTACGCTGCCAGGGACTGAAATCCTGCAGTGCCAGACGTGTCCCCCTGCTTAAAGCAGAACTAAGTAAGAATTCCGTTTTTGTCAAACAGCGACCCCTAGAGTCGCTGTGGAGTACTTGTACTGTCGTGAATAGCACTCACGCAGAGATGGCTCGCACTCACGGCCGGATCCCCTCCCCCTGTACACCGGTACCAGTTCAGTAGGATGGACGCGGTAACGAGTGGAAATAAGGTATGGCCCCTTTAAGAGCTGCGCGCGCCCTGCGTCTCGAACACCACATGAATACGGCGCCGGGTTATTTCTGTTTGATGCTCATTTTATCAGAATTTTATCAGATCTGTTTTTTGCCGTAAAGCAATTCGTTACCTCGCGAGACCTGATATCAAACGATACTTCCTAACACTGAGGCCGGCGGCTCGCCGGCCCAAAGTTGCAAGGGTGATTTTGCGGCTCACAGGCACCAGGGGGGTGCGAGGCGACCACCATTCAACACGAAATCAGTAATATAAACATTACAATGACTCCAAAGCTGTTCGGTTAAGGTAAAAATGTTACTTAGTTCACCTTTAAGCCAGTACATGTCCAGGCACGTCTTAAGTTTGCTAGAGAGCATTTGGATGATCCAGAAGAGGATTGGGAGAATGTCATATGGTCAGATGACACCAAAATAAAACTTTTTGGTAAAAACTCAACTCGTCGTGTTTGGAGGAGTTGCATCCAAAGAACACCATACCTACTGTGAAGCATAGGGGTGGAAACATCATGCTTTGGGGCTGTTTTTTGGCAAAGGGACCAGGACGACTGATCCGTGTAAAGGAAAGAATGAATGGGGCCATGTATCGTGAGATTTTGAGTAAAAACCTCCTTCCATCAGCAAGGGCATTGAAGATGAAACGTGGCTGCGTCTTCCAGCATGACAATGATCCCAAACACCCCTGGGCAACGAAGGAATGGCTTCGTAAGAAGCATTTCAAGGTCCTGGAGTGGCCTAGCCAGTCTCCAGATCTCAACCCCATAGAAAATCTTTGGAGGGAGTTGAAAGTACGTGTTGCCCAGCGACAGCCCCGAAACATCACTGCTCTAGAGGAGATCTGCATGGAGGAATGGGCCAAAATACCAGCAACAGTGTGTGAAAACCTTGTGAAGACTTACAGAAAACATTTGACCTCTGTCATTGCCAACAAAGTGTATATAACAACGTATTGAGATCAACTTTTGTTATTGACCAAATACTTATTTTCTACCATAATGTGCAAATAAATTCATAAAAAATCCTACAATGTGATTTTCTGGATTTTTTTTACTCATTTTGTCTCTCATAGTTGAAGTGTACCTATGATGAAAATTACAGGCCTCTCTCATCTTTTTAAGTGAGAGAACTTGCACAATTGGTGGCTGACTAAATACTTTTTTGCCCCATTGTTTTGGCAACTAGCTGTAAAAAAGTAAGCTGTAAAAAAATTGTTTTTTAATATTATATTTTTATATTTTATTTTATTTCAGTTAAAGGTAGGGTAGGCAATTTCGGAGAGGCTAGCAATAGCGAGCTAGCTTTGAACGCGTGAGATCCCACCCTCCCTTCAGAGCGTCTCCAAAGCCACGCCTCCTCCCAAACACATGAACGCACAGCAGAGTCTGCGAAGCTTCACGGGACGAGAGAGTATGCAATGATTGGACCAACATGTTTTGGTCCTGTGTCTTTCACAGAAGATATATGTACATGTTTTAATATTTAGACCATAAATTCATTCTTTTATTGACTTTTCTCAGCATGTGAAGAGAGTTTCAACCAGAATAACAAAGTGTTTATGAAAAAATTGTCTATCCTACCTTTTAACGTTTTTATGGTTTTAGTTGATGATAATAACCCTGAGCTTAAGTCAAATCTGCTGCAATTAAGTTATGTAACAACTTTCTCAACTCTTTATATATTTTTTTCATACTTGCTGAGCTTTGATGATACTTAAACATTCACTGCAAATAGTGCAACTGACTTTACTCTTCTTACACATCCCATCTGAATTCGATTGTTAAAATTTACACATCATAGCTTTTGCATTTGGTAAATGCATACAAATATTGAATGAATCTCACACATCAATGGCAATGCATGAACTTTTATGCTTCACGTTTTACTGCCAGAGCTGTGCTGAATATCTGTACATTGTTGTCCTGGTCAGGTACTAACATTTTCAAAATGATAATATCAGTCTGCTAAGAACAATGTTGCTAATTTTGGCTTTAAAAACTCATTTTTGTTGACTGGAGTGGTACAAATTTGATCACTTTTCCGTAGAAATATGATCTATTATGATCTAAATATGACGACATCCGTGCGTCGTTGTGAATCATAATTAGTTCTGACAAACCCAGAAATGCATGTGATGATTGTCAATCCTGTGCAATTATTAGCAGAAGCTGTTAGTATTTTACGCGTGTGTGTGTGTGTGTGTGTGTGTGTGTGTGTGTGTGTGTGTGTGTGTGTGTGTGTGTGCGTGCGTGTGTGTGTTTGTATGTAAAATATGTGCTGAAAATATTAATGAAGTATCAAATGAATGTGGACGGATACATGATCATGAAATCATGTATCAGTTCTGTTTTAATTGGGTTGTTTAAATGGTTTATACTTTGTTTGTATCTGATTGGTAGTTTTTTGTGTGTTTTTTTTTTTGTCTCCAGGGAGAAATATTTATTTAAGAACCGAACAAACGAGGTCCCACCCAATTCATACTACCATTCACTCTATCCCAAAATTATACAGGACATTGAGGTGAGCGTCCATCCCGTCGTTCATTTATTCAGTGGTCAGTTTATCCATCCACCCAGCCTCATTCATTCATCCGGTCTCCTGTTTTCTCATTGTGTCTCTCTAGACGATTGAGGCGAACTGGCGTTGTGGGCGTCACAATCTTCAGCGGATTCAGTGCCGGTCAGAGAACAGTAAAGGTGTTTACTGCCTTCAGTACGACGATGACAAGATCATCAGCGGCCTACGAGACAACTCCATTAAAGTACTTGTCTGTCTTTCTATCTGTATGTCTGTTGTTATCGTCGTTACATTGTGGTCGTCCCAATTTGTATACTTATGCACTATTCTGTGCCATTTAGTAGTATAAATAGTGTGTGATTAGTGTGTTCGCACTAAAAATTCCAAAAAAGAAAAAAAGTGCACTTCAAATACCCAGATGATGCACTTACTTAAAGGACAATTCCGGCGCAAAATGAACCTGGGGTTAATAACACATGGGTACCGAGTCGACCGTTCTCTGGGATGTGTTTTCATGATAATTTAATGTACCCAGTTTTAGCTCGAACCACAGATTAGCTTATAACGCTAGTATAAAGGCATAGAGTAAGTAAAAATAAAAATCGCTAGTTAATACTAACACTAACAAGGCTCAAAATAGCCCCACACTAACACGGTAACATAATGAGGGTCCCTACCTGCAAACCGAAGCATTGAGAACTTTGTAAGTGTACAGACAGTTTAATAAGAAGATACTTTACAGGTAGGAGCCATCTTTGGAAAACAGTCTCGACCAGTCGAACCACGAACGCCGATTCACCTCTCAGTGAAAATGCTTGAGCTATGTTTTTGGTAAAAATATTGAAAGTATGGGGCCCCTTCTTCCCTTGTAGTTAGTCACCCATATATTTTAATAGAGGTGATTCACCTCTCAGATATATTTCTGAGAGGTGAATCGGCGTTCGTATTTCGACTGTTTTCCAAAGATGGCTCCTGCCTGTAAAGTATCTTCTTATTAAACTGTCTGTACACTTACAAAGTTCTCAATGAATATATATAAATAAGCAACATTTGTAAATGAGTAGTTCTATATTTCTTAATTGTTTTTAATTCGATTATGCTATTCTCAGTGCTTCATGGGATTGTAGTTTTTTCTATCGCTAAAGCCATTGGTTACACAGTACTTTTTGTCTGACATACTTTTTTGCTTCAAATCAAAGTTTGTAATGTTATGATTCATCGTGTTGCTGTTTGGTTCATGGCTTATAACACCTTAACGAAGACTTTTTTCAAATCCCCATGTAACAAAAGAAAGCGATAAATACTTTGGGAACCAGCACCACTAAAAAAGTGGGCGGGCACTTTTGCACTGTTACAGAGTGAAGGGGGAGGGGCTATCAGCTTCCAATGTTAAATTAAATGCACTACACAGTTGAGTACATAGAAGTGTATAGTACAACATTTGGAACATAACTTCTGTCTCTCTCAGATCTGGGATAAACAGTCTCTGGAGTGTCTGAAGGTTTTGACGGGTCACACTGGTTCGGTTCTGTGTCTGCAGTATGATGACAGAGTCATAGTGACAGGATCCTCTGATTCTACCATCAGGTACACACACACACACACACAACACCATGAGTTTGGGGTCAGTGTGAATTTTTTAAACGAAATTAACACTTCTCTCAAGGATGCATTATCTAAAGTGACAGTAAAGACATTTATAATGTTACAAAAGATTTCTATTTCAAACAAATGCTGTTCTTCTGGAAATCATTATATTAGAATGATTTCTGAAGGATCATGTGGCACTGAAGACACTGAAGATGTTGAAAATTCAGCTTTGATCACAGGAATAAATGACATTTTATAATATAGTACAATAGAAAACTCTTCTTTTATATTGAAATAATATTTCACAATATTCCTGTTTTTTATCGTGTTTTTGATCATAAAAATGCAGCCTGGGTGAGCAGAAGACACTTCTTTTAAAACATTAGCAATATCCTTCGACCCCAGCCAAACTTTTGAATGCTTGTGTACATCGATGAGAAATTTCCCAAATTTAATGTTAAATATTATTTTATTATAAATGCTAAAACAAGATGTGTATTGATTAAAGAAATCCTCTATCCGCAGATCTAAAATATGTCTTTAGCCAGAAATCACTGTTTGTACGTATATATTTTTAAAGTCCCCATGTAGTCAATAATTTAATCCCTTAAAACTACTCTTTGATCACCAAAAATCCCATATTTAAACATTTTGTCCTTGAAAAATTCTTCATGCCTTAAAATAGCTTGAATGTAACTACACCCTTGCCTTTAGTATACGTTGTTCTATGAATATGCAAATGAGCCCCGCCTCCACTCACTCACACCAGCTCAGAGATCCACTCATTGACGATCACATGTTGATCTGATTGGTTTCAAGGTAGTTTGTGACGTCAGAAACACCAGCGATTTTAAAAAGTGTTTTTGAGACTGTAGTGTGGTTCACTGCAGTTTTAAGGAGAAAATACTCAGCAATGGTGTCGACTTATGAATTTACTAGGGCTGTCAGTTAAACGCGTTATTAACGGCGTTAACGCAAACCCATTTTAACGGCGTCAATTTTTTTCATCGTGCGATTAACGGTCTTTTTGGCCTTTCAAACTTTGTAGTTTTTTTCACATGCTTTTGCAACAGGACGCGGCACTGCGCTATGAAACCCATTCATTTCAATCAATGGCTTGCGCCGCGCGAGGACGTTTTGTTGCTTTGTCGACCAAAGCACAAGCGGATCTAGCTAGACCGGAAACAAAACAACAGGCACGCCGCACACACTTGTTTGGGTTTGCAAGCCGGCCAAATAGTTGGTTAACGTTATGTTTTGAGTGGATGACGAGCGCGAGACGCCGAAATGGATGCCAATAAGATTCTGAATGGAAAGTTTACTTTTAAAAAGTTGCCAAATGGTTCCATTGACAAGACCAAAGTGATCTGTGTGTTTTGTCGTTGTGAACTGAGCTATCATCATCGCAGCGCGTCCAGTCTGAAATACCACTTGATGATGGCCAAACACACACACACACACACACAGCTGATGCGAATTCTCCGCCCCCTCGTCAATATCAGGACCTCGTCAGTATTACTTTCACCCTTTTATTGATGGACAGTGTTACATTGTGTGAGAGATTATTTGCTCCAAGTGAGAATGTTAGTGTGAAATTGAACACAGTATTGTCAATGTTGTTTTCAATAAAAAACATTTGCACAAAGCAAGCCGATCCACTTTTCCATGTTGATAAGAGCATTAAAATGAGAAAAAATAATGGGACAAAAAGAAATCAAGAGACTTTTAGAATAGATAAAAATGTGCGATTAATCATGAGTTAACTATGACATTAATGCGATTAATCACGATTAAATATTTTAATCGTTTGACAGCACTAGAATTTACACATGTTTTTTCTTAAAGCATATTTAAAATACCACATAGACATATAAACAACATTAAAAACTTTTACCACAGGGAGACTTTAAATGTAAAAAAAAAAAAAAAATCATCCAGTAATCCTGGATGACTAGAAAAGTCCTTTGTCTAAAAGTGTGTGAATCCTTAAGAATGAAAATTAAAAGATGAGGAATTTCAGTACAGTGCTGATGAAACTATATAGTTGAATATGTTTCACACACACTAGCTCCCTCCGGCTGAATAATCTCTATGAAAACAATGACCTCACTTCCCTAGCAACTGTTTAAAGCTCCGTCCGGAGCGCTGTCACCTTTTCCAGTGCGAGTATGTGTGTGTTTCTCTCTCACCTGAGAGAGATTTGTGGAAGAAACTCTCCAGCTGCATAAATCAGGTTTACGTCACTCGAGTGGAAGCGCGAACGGCCGGACGTTTAACACCTGGAGAAGGAAACGGCTTTGTAATGTGATCGTGTTTAAAGAGCATTAACACATCAGTTGGCCGCGTTCAGCTCGAGCAGGGTGTTTCAGCTGCCGGTGAGGTCGTTCACATGTCATTTACGGTCCGGTTTGTTTTAACAACAGCTATGCTAATAAAGCGGAGCAGTTATTACAGGAGATATTTACTACTTTCAAACATGAAACCTGTTGAAAAACATTGAAGGAATCTGTTATTCCTTCAGCCTGTTCTGTTTTAAGCAAATTCTGGGCAATCAAAGTGTCAAAAGGATGCATTAAATTGTGACCGTAAAGACATTTATAATGTTACAAAAGATTTCTATTTCAAATACATCTGTTCTTTAACTTCCTATTCATCAAAGAAGCCTGAAACAAAGAATCACGGTTTCCACAAAAATATGAAACTGATTATATTAAGAAATGTTTCTTGAGCAACAAATCAGCATATAGTGCTGTTGGGTGACGCATTTTTGTAGGCCCAAACCTGGAAACGAGTTAGCATTTTAGCACTAATACTTTCACTTTTTATTCTACAACATAAAATACATCATTATCAGCCCACTCGTAATTTGATGTTACGTGTCTTGAAAGAGAAGGTTGCTGACATGGGTTTAAATGGGACTACAGAGGTTTTTTGAGATAATCCAAAAGCCTATGGAAAAATCCTATTGGTTTTTGTTTAGGGAACCAGTATGATGCAAACTTTCGGGTCGGCCTACAAATGTACGTCATCACTGCACCAAGGATCATGTGACACTGAACACTGGAGTAATGATGCTGAAAATTCAACTTTGATCACAGGAATAAATGACATTTTAAAATATATTACAATAGAAAACGGCTATTTTAAACTCTAATAATATTCCACAATATTACTGTTTTTACTGTATTTTGATTAAATAAATGCAGCCTCAGTGAGAAGAGACTTCTTTTCAAAATACATTTTTTAAAAATCCTACAACTGTAAACTTTTGAAAAGTAGTGTAGATCAATGAGAAACTGTCCACATTTAATGTGATTTATTTAATCTAACTAAATCTTTAATCAATACACATTTGTGTAGCTATGCTATTTTGTAGCTTAGTTATAATAACCACAAGCTCACATTCCCTCATATTGTGTACTAATCTGTAATATTTTCCCTGTCTCTGTCAGGGTGTGGGACGTTGGTTCCGGTGAGGTTCTCAACACTCTGATCCATCATAACGAGGCGGTTCTGCACCTGCGCTTCTGTAACGGGCTCATGGTGACGTGTTCGAAAGATCGCTCCATCGCCGTGTGGGACATGGCATCCGCCACTGACATCAGTCTGCGCCGCGTGCTCGTGGGTCACCGCGCTGCTGTTAACGTGGTGGACTTTGACGACAAATACATCGTGTCTGCGTCTGGAGACAGAACCATAAAGGTGAGCGGGTGGGAGTGGTCAGCGGGTGAGCGGGTGGGAGTGGTCAGTGGGTGAGCGGGTGGGAGTGGTCAGTGGGTGAGCGGGTGGGAGTGGTCAGTGGATGAGCGGGTGGGAGTGGTCAGTGGATGAGCGGTCGGTGGTTGAGCGGGTGGGAGTGGTCGGTGGTTGAGCGGGTGGGAGTGGTCAGTGGATGAGCGGTCAGTGGTTGAGCGGGTGGGAGTGGTCGGTGGTTGAGCGGGTGGGAGTGGTAGGTGGATGAGCGGGTGGGAGTGGTCAGTGGGAGTAGTCAGTGGATGAGCGGATGGGAGTGGTCAGTGGATGAGCGGGTGGGAGTGGTCAGTGGATGAGCGGGTGGGAGTGGTCAGTGGATGAGCGGGTGGGAGTGGTCAGTGGATGAGCGGGTGGGAGTGGTTAGTGGATGAGCGGGTGGGAGTGGTCAGTGGATGAGTGGGTGGGAGTGGTCAGTGGGTGAGCGGGTGGGAGTGGTCAGTGGGTGAGCAGGTGGGAGGCGTGAGCGGGTGGGAGTGGTCAGTGGTTGAGCGGGTGGGAGTGGTCAGTGGTGGGAGTGGTCAGTGGATGAGCGGGTGGGAGTGGTCAGTGGTTGAGCGGGTGGGAGTGGTCAGTGGATGAGCGGGTGGGAGTGGTCAGTGGATGAGCGGTCAGTGGTTAAGTGGGTGGGAGTGGTCGGTGGTTGAGCGGGTGGGAGTGGTCGGTGGTTGAGCGGGTGGGAGTGGTCGGTGGTTGAGCGGGTGGGAGTGGTTGGTGGTTGAGCGGGTGGGAGTGGTAGGTGGATGAGCAGGTGGGAGTGGTAGGTGGATGAGCAGGTGGGAGTGGTAGGTGGATGAGCGGGTGGGAGTGGTCAGTGGGAGTAGTCAGTGGATGAGCGGGTGGGAGTGGTCAGTGGTTGAGCGGGTGGGAGTGGTCAGTGGATGAGCGGGTGGGAGTGGTGGGAGTGGTCAGTGGATGAGCGGGTGGGAGTGGTCAGTGGATGAGCGGGTGGGAGTGGTCAGTGGATGAGCGGGTGGGAGTGGTCAGTGGATGAGCGGGTGGGAGTGGTCAGTGGATGAGCGGTCAGTGGTTGAGTGGGTGGGAGTGGTCAGTGGTTGAGCGGGTGGGAGTGGTTAGTGGTTGAGCGGGTGGGAGTGGCTGAGCGGGTGGGAATGGTCAGTGGCTGAGCGGGTGGGAGTGGTCAGTGGCTGAGCGGGTGGGAGTGGTCAGTGGCTGAGCGGGTGGGAGTGGTCAGTGGCTGAGCGGGTGGGAGTGGTCAGTGGATGAGCGGGTGGGAGTGGTCAGTGGATGAGGGGGTGGGAGTGGTCAGTGGATGAGCGGGTGGGAGTGGTCAGTGGATGAGCGGGTGGGAGTGGTCAGTGGATGAGCGGGTGGGAGTGGTTAGCGGGTGGGCGGAGCTTTAGTGCTGGATGATGGGAGTGTGAGTGGGTGGGAGTGGTGAGCGGGTGGGAGTGGTCAGTGGATGAGCGGGTGGGAGTGGTCAGTGGTGAGCGGGAGGGAGTGGTCAGTGGATGAGCGGGTGGGAGTGCTCAGTGGATGAGCGGGTGGGAGTGGTCAGTGGATGAGCGGGTGGGAGTGGTCAGTGGTGAGTGGGTGGGAGTGGTCAGTGGTTGAGCGGGTGGGAGTGGTCAGTGGTTGAGCGGGTGGGAGTGGCGAGCGGGTGGGAGTGGTCAGTGGTTAGTGGGTGGGAGTGGTCAGTGGGTGGGAGTGGTTAGTGGGTGGGCGGAGCTTTAGTGCTGGATGATTGGCAGATGTAGATAAAAGAGACCGTGTGTGTCTGCAGGTGTGGAGCACCAGCACGTGTGAGTTTGTACGGACACTTAACGGTCACAAGCGTGGCATCGCCTGCCTTCAGTACAGAGACAGACTCGTGGTCAGCGGGTCTTCGGACAACACCATCAGGTGAGACAATGTGTGTCTGTAAGTTTACTGTATGATTTGCAGTTGAACTGTTTTGTCTTTGTGCCTGTTTGCAATAAAGAATTATTTTTTTCAATGGTTTTTGTTCTCGCCATACTAAACATATTTGACTTATTACTTCCACAAGAAAATGTGTCTGTTTAATATTACAGTAATACAGTAACTTTTTTCATACAGTAAAAATAATAATATTGTGAAATATTATTACAATTTCAAATAACTGTTTTCTATTTGAATATATTTTGTAATTGAATGTGATTTATTCCTGATTATTCCAGTCTTCAGTGTCACATGATCCTTCAGAAATATTTCTAATATGATGATTTGCTGCTCAAGAAACTTTCTGATTTTTATCAATGCTAAAAACAGTTGTGCTAGTTTATATCTTGGTGAAAACCATGATGCATTTTTTTTCTCGATTCTTTGATGAACAGACTTTATTTAACAGAATTTTTTGCAACATAATAAATATCTATACCGGCACTTTTAATTAATTTAATGCATCCTTGCTGAATAAAAGTACTAATTTCTAACAGACCAAAAAAAATCTTGCTGACGAAAAACGTGTCATTGTTTTCAAATAGTCAACCCACAGTACAATGCAAAAATAGCTTGGGAGAGCATCTTCAAAAAAATCCCATCTCAATGTGGATGGAAGGACAAAATGTATAGAAAATCCGGATTAAGTGTAGACATCCGTGTGTGTTTTCAGACTGTGGGACATTGAGTGTGGTGCTTGTCTGCGTGTGTTGGAGGGTCATGAGGAGCTCGTGCGCTGCATCAGATTCGACAACAAGAGGATCGTGAGCGGAGCGTATGATGGGTGAATACACACACACTCGGTCACAGCACCATCTGTTTCTGACAGGCCGTTCATCTGTCAGCCTGGTTAATATCGAGCACTCATTACTCACCCGCACATTCTCTCTGTTCCTCTGCAGGAAGATTAAAGTTTGGGATTTACAGGCAGCTCTGGATCCTCGGGCCCCTGCCAGCACATTATGTCTGCGCACACTCGTGGTGTGTGTGTGTGTGAATAAAATAATTCCATTATCATATTTATAAATAGTTGAATTTATGTTTTGTAAAATTTCTCTATCTGGTTTGTATGGAAGCTTGTTTCCACCACGGAATAAAACAATTTGAAAGATAATTGCGACTTTTCTCGCAAGTGTGACTTTTTTTCTCTCGCAATTCTGACATTTTATCTCACAAATCTATTTTTTTTCTCGCAATTTAGAGTTTACATCTCGCAATTCTGACTTTTTTCTCGTAATTCTGACTTTCACTCATTGTTACTTTTCTCGCAATTCTGACTTTTTCTCTCAATTGAGTTTACATCTCGCAAATCTGACTTCTTTTCTCAGAATTGTGATATATAGACTGGCAATTGCGAGTTATAAAGTCCAATTCTGAGGTAAAAAGACTGACTTTTTTCTCAGAATTGTGAGTTAATATCACGCAATTCTGAGAAACTCAGAATTGTGAGATAAAATGTCACAATTACCTTTTTTTTTTAAATTTATTCACTGGCGAAACAAGCTTCCATAGGTTTTCCATATTATTATGGATACATTTTTCATTGTCATGCAAGTAAATTTCACATATGATAAAACAAACAGCCACAAGAGGTCACTGCAGGTTTATTTACACTGCTAATTACCTCAGACAGTTTGAAATGATCATTTAGTTAATATATTTGGAAATTAATGTAAAACATAATTCGTTATTCTCAAATTAACTGTCACCTAGTGCTACCTTGAAGCTAGTTTGGGAAACTGCAGGCTACTAGAAATTCAAGTTGTTAAACCACAGGGACTTACAGGAACATAGTGAGGAGTCAAATTAATTGGTGAATCGATTCTTTTTGGAACGTTAAAACTGAAAAAATAGGATTCCTAGATCTACTAATAAACAAACTTTGAATCAAACTGATTCACTGAAGGAATAGGATTCCTGTCTACATTATTGAATAGTATAGCTAAGAATCAGATTCTTTTAGTGAATCAGTTCGTTTCAGTGAACCATTTCAAAAAGAGTCGATTCAGTCCTTGTGCTTTTAATACTAGTACTTCTAAGTAGCTTGGCCAACTTCCCCAACCCTAGGTGACACCTCATTTGAGAATTATGAATTCTGTTTTACATATATTTCCATATAGGTTAACCAAGTGATTATTTCAACAGTGTTGCTGCGTTTACTCCCAACACCGGACTCACCGTTTCTGACAAACCTCTGGAGTGTGTTTGCGTGTATGTTTTTGTGTTCTTTTAAGTGTGTGTTTTCATGGCAACCTCTCGCAGGAGCATTCTGGGCGTGTGTTCCGACTGCAGTTTGATGAGTTCCAGATTATAAGCAGTTCCCATGATGACACAATCCTTATATGGGACTTCCTGAATGTCTCCACCAATGGACAGTCAGAGGGGCGATCGCCCTCACGGACATACACGTACGTCTCCAGATAGCAGGTACACGCCCAGACCAGTTTACAACAATTCACCAGCTCTTTATTTCATTATGTATTATGGTTCTTCCGAGGGGTTCTAGTTGACAAAATACACTGATCATCCAAGATAATTGTTTCCCCCCCTTTTTTTAATAAACACTTTTCTCTATAGTTCTGTATCAATTTGTTTATATTGTAGTGGTTATTATGGTTGCAATTTATTTGGTCATTTTGAAATTTTATTTCAAAAGAATGAAAAATATTTATGTGTATACATTAAAATGTTTTTTTCTATAACTCTGTAATTTGTATTCATATTATTGTTTATTATAGTAAAAAAAAAAAATCATTTGTTCATATTGTGGTGGTTATATAGTCGATGGCGGCCCATATAACTAAGTAGGAAAATTATAAAAATTGGCACACTGTGATGGTAATGAATGGTAATCTGACCAACTCTATAGCGCCACCACCAGTTCAAATATTCACTTTTCAAAAGGTTATAACATTTGAACCCGTTGTTCTAGAAAAATTAAACTTAGTAAACCTGATTCCACTCAGCGCTCTAATCGCATTCAACATTTTACTTTAAAAATTCACGGCTTTATAAAGTCTTAAATTTTGAAAGTATTTTTTCTAGGGATGCACCGAATATTCGGCCGCCGAAAATAGCCCAAAAGTGCATTTTCGGTTTTCGGCCGAAAGACTTTTATCACCGAAACAATACGGCCGAAATGTTGTGATGACGCAAACAGAAACCGCGACCTGCACGTGCTTGTCTGAAGCAACATGTCTGCGGTGTGGACGTATTTCAGTATATCTGAACCAGGCTCTGATCTGAACCATAGACTGTAAAAGATCTGAACCCGCGAGGAGACGGAAGCCTTGTTTATACTTTCGCCTGCCTCCGCAGCGCGAGTCTATGGAAGTTTTTTCCTAACAAAATTAAAATTAAAATGCTTAAAATATAAAATAATAAATCAAAGTCTCAAAACAACTGCTCAAATGATGAATCAAATGGTCAAATTATTAAAAAATAAATCAAAGTCTCAAAATGGCTGCACAAATGATGAATCAAATGCTCAAATGCAATTTCATTTCCTCAATCGTGGAAGCATGAACTGTATCAAAAATCAAGTTAAAACTCATTTGTATTTGATTTTTAATTTTCATTATCAACCCAGTATAAACCTGTCATAATTAAATCTATAAGTCAATACTCAAATCATAAATCAAATGGACAAAATATAAATCAAATGCTTAAACCAACATCGAAAATGGCAAATCAAATGCTCAAACGGACATCGCAAATGATAAATCAAATGCTCAAACGGACATCGCAAATGATAAATCAAATGCTCAAACGGACATCGCAAATGATAAATCAAATGCTCAACGGTAGCCGGAAACGGCAAATGATAATTCAAATGGAAATGAGGAATGTCAATCAAGTTGCGTGGGCGGAGCTTTGAGCTCAAGATCGATGACAAACTGACAATGTTTATACAAGATATAATTTTACATGATTACAGAATTTGGCTGACTGAGATTAACGTTAGACTCACCTTAAGGGCGTAACTTTGGTTTGAGAAGTGGGGGGACACAAAATGGGGGAAAATGTTTTCGATTTGAATCCCATTTCCTGGATGTACATGTACATTTAGGGACTATGGTGATACAAAAAACAGGAAATAATTTGATTATAATGATAAATTCTGCTAAAAAGAATAGTAAGCTATATGTATAAGTAGGGATGGCCCGATACCGATACTGGCATCGGGGATCGGGCCGATACTGTCCTCATATACTCGTACTCATAAAAAATCGCCGATACCACGTACATTTTGCAAAACGAAACAGGCCGCCGCGAGTGCTTTGTCGAGGTGAACTGAGGCATAGGAAAGTATAATGTCGGCGATTTGGGCTCATTTCAAGATAAGGAATGATGACAACAGCAAGGCAGACTGTAAGTTATGTTCAGCTAAGGTGTCGAGAGGAGGGAAAGAAAGTACATCGTTTAACACCAGCAATCTAATTAAACATCTGAAGACGCATCACAGATCTGATGGCCGAGCGCGCGCGCGGGCGGTAATGCACTCACTCTGTGTGTGCGGGTTACGGGAGAATAAAACGATTCGCGGGACTCCCGCAAACTAGAAATATCTATGAATAAAACATGAAAACTAATAGATTTTTATTCATCTCTTGCAGAAAAGCAACAAGAACAACTACAACAAAATTGAAACGATTTACAGGCCAGAGTTTCTATTCATAACATGGTTACAGCGTTGAGCGATGTAGCCAATCACAGACATATGTGTTGATTTCTTGAACGCAATGGCCAATCAGAAGCATTTAAGATGGACTCCCCTCACCGCTCTAAACTTACTTTTTTGTTCAGTGCTGAATTCTGTATGCTGGCAAATCCTCTAATTATAACAAACAAAGTGTGGATATTATGAAAGATTGATTGTGCAGTCAGCTTCACTGATAATAACAGATGTGTGAGATCGCGAGGAACTGTCAGCTTTTAGGATTTATTAAGGGGGCGCACTTTGCGTGCATTCAGTCATGCCAGACCATGCACGCAGTAGCCTGCTTGCTTTTATGTTAAATTAACAGTGGTTTGTGTGTTAATACATTTATTATTTTACTCATTTTTATTTATTTTTAGACTTGTTAAAACAAGCAGAGAAGAAAATAAAAACAGTCTTCTAACCTGTGTTCTAAAATAGTCGTCGTCTTTTCTGGGAGCCTATTACTTTTGCGGTAGAAATATCGGTATCGGTACTCGGTATCGGCAAGTACACAAATGTAAATACTCGTACTCGTATCGGTTTGAAAAAAAATGGTATCGGGCCATCCCTATGTATAAGACAAAAATATTTCTTACTTTCTTTATTGTTTATAGGGGCCGATCGCCAAGACTTTAGAGAATCATTTTATAAAGTCAAAATGTTAGCCATTAATGTTTTGTGTGTAAATAAAAATGTAATGTGAGCCTCAATTTCCACTGTAATGTAGAAACAACAAAGACAGTATATTTAAAATAATTGTTTAATGGCATCTGTTAATGAATGAAGGCCAGTATCACTGATATTAATGCTATAGCTACTGATGTCTCGATGAAAATGATTCTGCACACTCTAAAAATAGCTTACTGAAAGTTCTAATGAGCAGGTATCGCGGTTGCGGCACAGTCGGCGATGAAACGACAGAAACAACAGGTGACTTAATTGATTTTAGTTAAAAATCATAACAAAATGTTTTAAAGTGGGGGGTGGGGCACAAACAGGATTTTGAAAAGTGGGGGGGACATGTCCCCCCTGTGCCCATAGGAAATTACGCCCGTGCAAGTTGCAACGTTACTACCTCTTGTGCCCGTCGATCTGGTGCACATTCAGCCGAAGGCTGCTGGGGAGGGCCGGTTGTCAATAATGTGCTCTGCTCCAGGGCCTCTGCTGCATCCCTTAAAAGTTTTGTTATTGCATTTGTGTCCATTTTATATTAAAAAACGATGTCGTCGAAGAGGTAAAGTCGACAGCAGCGGCTGAGGTAACGTTCCCACGGCCCGTTGGTCTCAAAGCTCCGCCCACGCAACTTGCTTGACATTCCTCATTTGCATTTGATTTATCATTTGCCGTTTCCGGCTTCCGTTTGAGCATTTGATTTATCATTTGCGATGTCCGTTTGAGCATTTGATTTGCCATTTGCGTTGTCCGTTTGAGCATTTGATTTATCATTTGCGATGTCCGTTTGAGCATTTGATTTATCATTTGCGATGTCCGTTTGAGCATTTGATTTATCATTTGCGATGTCCGTTTGAGCATTTGATTTGCCATTTTCGATGTTGGTTTGAGCATTTGATTTATATTTTGTCCATTTGATTTATGATTTGAGTATTGACTTATAGATTTAATTATGACAGGTTTATACTGGGTTGATAATGAAAATTAAAAATCAAATACAAATTAGTTTTAACTTGATTTTTGATACAGTTCATGCTTCCACGAATGAGGAAATTAAATTGCATTTGAGCATTTGATTTATCATTTGTGCAGCCATTTTGAGAGTTTGATTTATTATTTAATAATTTGACCATTTGATTCATCATTTGAGCAGTTGTTTTGAGACTTTGATTTATTATTTGATATTTTAAGCATTTTAATTTTAATTATGTTAGGAAAAAACTTCCATACGAGTCTCCACAGACAGCGCGCGCACCGCTCCAAACGGTCGAGGCGTTTATACTTGACGCGCTCGCCGTTGTACTATTCTTTGAAACGACAGGGGACGACTCAAGTAACTGTCCTCTAACCATCAGGAATCGGTGAGAAGAAGAAAGATAAACACGTGACAATGTTTATTTTTTAGTACCACCACCAATACAAAAATAATCATGTAAAACCCAGTAAACCCTGAGATTATTACTTGTGACATTACAACAAAATATGTATAGGAATATGTAAATTAACGCTCTCTTAAATATTTTCTAATTTCACTAAACATATTTCATTAAGTTTCGTGTACATTTGTATTAAACATGGACCTTTGTTCATTAAAATGGCTTTTTATGCTAGTGTATGCTCATTTTTAAAATGTAATCAACTAATTTAGACGTGCAAACTGGGTGCTGGTGTGATGAGAAGTTCGTGCTCGGCTTTGTTTTTATGAGAGAACATTTCATTTTAAAACCTTTCTGCAGGCCAGCAGATTATTATTTAATGTACACATGAGTGGGGTCAAGTTAAACATTTTAGTTTGAATTTTATTTTATACTGTGCATTGTGCTAAATAAATATTTGCATAATTTGTAATTGATTTATTCTTTGAAAATGTTAATTTATGCAATTGCAATGCCTTGATTTTAGTAAAGTTTGTACACAGTCATAACCATAAATGCAATGGTACTTATAATTGGCATAATTTCTTTCGGTGTTTCGGTTTTCGTTTTTCCGGCCTTGGGTTCCTCTTTTTCGGTTTTCGGTTTCGGCCAAGAATTTTCATTTCGGTGCATCCCTAATTTTTTCTGAATTAGCTGTCCAACAGTTTGAGTCCCAAAAACATCGTAAAAGTGTGTGAATTTAGTCATTTTTATTTATTTTTTTTAAACGAAGAACTGAGGCACATGTCAGCATGATTGTTGTTGAGGGTGGAGCAAAGTTTTGTTTTGTTTTTTAATAAACTTTGCTTTGATTTACTATCCCAGCCTATTTTATTTTTTTATTTTTTATCAGAGTGGTCTATAGTCTTTATCACAAACTAAAACTGTTAAGTTAGAAGTATCACTGATGTAAATGGTTACAGCTTGAAGTGGCGGTGAGGTATTAAAAAATATTGAGAAGGTCTTGAAAAAGTCTTGAAAAGGTATTAAAATTAACTTCAAGATTCCTGCATATACCCTGGTACAGTAATCTGTTTCTTTTGCTACTCCACCAAATTTTGCCCAATTCTTGCTAAAATTTGCTTTGGACTGAGCCTCACAGACATGAATAAACATATTATTTTAATTCATCTTTGTTCAAAAGAGTCATGAACTTAATATGTGGACCCAATATTGGTTCAGAGGCTGTATTGCGGCAAAACTTTGATCAATCGAAACGAAATTTTGTATGCTTTATCGGAACCATAATCTGAGGATCCATGCCAAATTTGGGAACAGCGCTACAGGATATGAGATCTGAAAAATAGTCATAACTTTTGAACAGTTTGTCAGAATGTGTGTGTTCGTGTTTGTACCCGGGTAAGCGTTGAACAAATCTTTCTTCCTCTTGGATTAGAAATGTGTTTTTTGTTTATTCTGTGTTCTTTCTCATCTGAACTTCTGCTGATTTTGAGTTCATTCTCATCTGTACTTCTGAACCAGCTGTTTTTTAGTTTTTTTCCCTCTGCCTCTGCACTGCTGTTGCTGATGTTTATTTATTATGTTAAAGCAATATCATATTAAAAATGAAAATGTTTTTCTTTTAATTTATTCATATTGTGCTACTATAGTTGCAATTAATTTTTCATTCTTTCTTAAGCTTATTTATTTATTTAAAGTATAGTTAGTCTGATACTTTTTAGCTTTCATTCATATTATTGCTTATTATAGTCATTATTTTATGTTAAAACAATAAAATATTAATTTGCTTGTATTGTAGTAGTTGTTAAAGTTTCAATTTATTTTTCATATTTGTTTGTTTATGGTCTGTCTCTCCATTTCAGGTGCCTCTTCTATGTGCCAGTGTGTCCTGGGAGAGCTGAGAGCTGATTGGTTGTTGGCCGTGTCCATCACAGAATTGTGCCTAGGAATCCACCTCCTCTTCTCTGTCCTACACAGATCCATGCTTTGCCAAACACACAGACACATGCTGCTCTAAAGATTCAAAACACTGTTCTGCTTTATCTAGTGGGAAAAAGAAGCAAAATCACACACACACACAGATGTTGACAGCTTCAAACCTTATCTGTACTACCACTGCTGCTCAAATAACCCGAAAACCAATGATCTCGTACTCACAAGCTCTGCACTACTAACAGCTCATATCCACACCAGGATCACTCTGTTATGGAGAAGCTGGGATTCTGGGAGTGACGTATGGATGATGATGGACAGGGAAATGAACCAGGAAAGACTTTACGATCAGCTGTTTGAGAGAAAGAGACTCAGACAGCAGCAAAACTCTCGCAGGAATAAAAGAAAAGAGAGTGGTGATGGTTAAGGACGTCTGTTGCCTTTTCTGCCCGCTCGCTGTTGTTTTCATGCCTCTTCAGGACCAGGGACACACTTGTTTTTCAGGATGGCGGTGTGGAGCGCAGGTCCGTCAGCATGCATGACTGTCTGCTCTGATGCCTCTTCCACGTTTGTCTTTAGTTTTTATGATTTCGTTGTTCTATTTAATTTGCCTCATCTTTTCAGTCTGGTTCTGCTAGGCATTGTACGTCTGTGTCACTCAATGTCTGGTTTCTTTTTCTCTCTGCCTGCTTGCTCATCGAGGGCTGAATCTAGTTGTAAACAGAATTGTCTTGTCAGATTGTGTTGTATATTAAAAAAAGAGAGAGTTTTTTAAGAAAAAATATTGTGAATAAAGTACTTGACCATGGTTGATGTATTGGTCGTGTGTGTGTGTCTAAGGTCTGAAACGTACTCTACACAAGAGCTGGATTTCACTTGATGCGCTCCCAAATTGCATTCGAATGCAATTATGTTTTTGTAATCGGTCAGATATTCTCTTTCAGATCAACTACTGTCATGACCGAGCAAAGGTGTGAAGAGAATCTTCCTGAGCTGGTTGGTTTAAGTTAATTAAGCTAACCATACCTGAATAAGGAAACGGATCACATTGAATACCGCAATCGAGTATGTGTTAGTGTTAATTTAGTATCAGTGATATTATAGTTTTTTTATTAATATTTGAATTTGATTTTATTTATGTACTATGTTTTTTTATTTTAATTTTAAAGTTCTAGTATTTTTTTTTGTTAGGTTTTTGTTTTAGTACTTCAATGAGAAATGTTGCTAAAATAAGTTTAGTTTTATATTTTATTTTAGTTAATGTATTTATTTCAAGTAATGAAAATGTTTTTATGGTTGTAGTTTTAGTTAACGATGGTTTTCGATATTTTAGATGCCACGGACTGCCATATTTCATCTTTGTGCAAAGGACCTAAAATTTAAAAGGCATTTATACAATTACTTATTAAAGACCCAATTCATACTGTGAAGTAAAAAGTCTAAAATATTATCTGAGAATATTTATTTCTATCGTTACATTGTTTTTCTCTCTTAGTAATGTAGGCTACTGTTAGATTAATTTACTTTATAATGTAATTATTTTAATCCTATATTTAGTCATGTATTTATTTTTATTTATTTTATTTTACATTTTTACACCGTTTTTCTCCCAACTTTTCCACAGACCCTGCACTGCTCCCCAGTTTGAAAACCACTGGTTTAGAGTATGTTTCTGACCTCAGGCCTTTAATTTAACAGTGTACATTTCAGGAAAATCCTAATTGATTATCAATAACAATCAATATGACCTTTGACCCCCAGTAGTTCCCTTAAATAGTAATAACATGCAGAGCAGCACGTCCTTGCTGTTGTCAGAGCGGCCACTAGGTGTCGCTGGACGCCCACAGACAGACTCAAGCTCGACTGACACTGACCCGAGGTCATCCAGGCAGAACAAGCCTGAACGCTCCTGATGAGCTGCCGGTTAAAGCGCCTGATTGATTAAATAATAAGCGGATGACAGAGTGCCCTGGCCCGTGGGGTGTGGATTAATCCAGACTCGTGCCAACAGAGAGAATTCTTCCAGAAATCCTGTCTTGTCTTGGTTTGTGTGATAAACACTCTGACAGCGCCAGTCCATTGAAGTGGAGCCGATATTGTTCAGTATGTCACTCTCTCTCTCTCTCTCTCTCTCTCTTTTTTTTTTTTTTTTTTACGGTTTTTGAACTCAATGGGGTGAGTTTTATCTAAGATATTTTGTTCTTTGTTTCTACAGATCACTTTGAAGTCAAAATGAATCAGATTGGGTTAAAGGGTTAGTTCGCCCAAAAATGAAAATTGTGTGATGTTGACGCAGGATTTTGCATTTATAACCCGGAAGCGGTGCACTGTGTTTACAACGTGAACAGTGGCTGCGTCCGAAATCGCATACTCTCCTGCGTACTTCTTTTGAATTTGAGTAATTACTTTAGTGCTGCTAAAAAAGTATGTTCTATATGGTAGTATCATATGCACACCAGAATCTCGCTGGAAGTGTCATCCAGGTACTTTTTTGCCTACTCTTTATCAGTACTGAATTTGGACGTACTGCTTTTGTCACGTGACATACTGTTTTTCATCTACAATATAGTAGGGAAGTATGCGATTTCGGACGCAGCCATTGTCAGAGACTGAGGTAGGGTTGCCACCTTTGATTTGTGAAAAACCGGGACACTTTGAGGGGGAGGGGTCAACCAGGGGCGTTTCCAGCTTTGAAGGACATCAAAAAAGAGAACAATCCCGGGAAAACCGGGACGGGTGGCAACCCTAGACTGAGGCCCTGTCCCAAATGGCACCCTAAACACTCGCGGCCTTCCTACGAGTCCGCACTTTCGTGACGTAACGCCGCTTTGACTGTCGGGTAGAAGTCTGTTGCGGAGCTCGCACCAGTGCGGTTTCGGCAACAGGGCGCATCGAGGGCGCATGTCGTCCGCAAGCTGAGACCTAAAATGACAAATGGGACACCCTACGGTCTCATGGTCTTAACAGATGCGCTCACGCGGCAGCCATTGTAAGTCCTCAAGACCGAAAGTCCATATGAAGTGTGCCATTTGAGTCAGGGCCTGACACGTAAGAGAAGAAATTGTTGAATAAAGTCGTTATTTTAGTTTTCTTGCGCACAAAACATATTCTCGTCACTTCATAACATTAAGGTTTAACCACTGTAGTCACATGGACTATTTTAACGATGTCTTTACTACCTTTCTGGGCCTTGAAAGTGGTAATAACGTTGCCATCTATGGGGGATCAGAAAGCTCTCGGATTTCATAAAAAATATCTTAATTTGTGTTCCGAAGGTGAATGAAGGTCTTAAAGGGATACTTTACGCAAAAATGAAAATTAGCCCATGATTTACTCACCCTCAAGTCATCCTAGGTGTATATGACATTCTTCCTTTAGATGAATATCGAAGTTATATTAAAAAATATCCTGGCTCTTCCAAGCTTTATAATGGCAGGGAATGGCTGTATATCACTTCAGAAGGCCTTTATTTACCCCCCAGAATCGTGTAGAGGATTTTTATGATGGATGGATGCACTTTGATGGACTTAAAAAAATATACAGCCATTCACTGCCATTATAAAGCTTGTAAGAGCCAGGACATTTTTTAATATAACTCCGATTGTATTCGTCTGAAAGAAGAATGTCATACACTTAGGATGGTTTGAGAGTGAGTGAATCATGGGGTAATTTTTTGGGTGAACTATCCCTTTAAGGGTTTGGAACAACGTGAGGGTGAGTAATTGATGACAGAATTTTTATTTTTGGGTGCACTAACCCTTTAATACATGCTCAGTATTGATCAAAGCATGGTTTTGGTTTTCCAGTTTTCCTTGTGAAGGACCCCATCCTAAAATTTAAAAGGCATCAATGTAGTTTCTTGTAGAAAGACCCAATTTATGCTGTGAAAAATCAATATTACAAATATTATCTTCAAAATATTTTGTTTGTATTTAGTTACATTATTGTGTTTTTTTATATAATCATACTACTTGTATCTTTAAATTAAATAACATTTATTTCTCTTTTATATATATTTTTTATACTTTATATATATATTTTATATTTTAATCTTATTTTTATGTATTTATTTTTATGTCTTTTTTTACACTATTTTTCTAAAATTGGTTTCTAAAAACCACTGGTTTAGAGTATGTTTCTGACCTTTAATTTAACAGTAGCCTGGGAAAACCCAGACAACTTCTGGCAAATTTAGATTTGCTCTGCAAGTTAGTCTGGCAAAGAGTTCATTCAAGCCCATTTCCAATCCGCCGAAATCGAGGCACCAATCAGAAACGTTGGGGCGGGCTTTACACGATGACGACAGCGCTGGGATTTTGAAGCAGATTTTGTAGCCTACATTACAAAGATGGATGCCGCCGTCGAGCATCACTCGTTCGAATCAGCTATCGCGTCTGTTTTAAGCGATTTGAACGTTTCCTTTTAGTTAAAAACCGAGCAAAGAACAACACTCGGAGATGTTTCTCCGCCGCTCTGCATACGTCATCTCCTTCATCGCTCTGATTGGTTTTAGGTCTATCCGCGACGTCCGTTGGTGACGCCCCTCTGGAAATGATTTGTCTATGACGCTTTGCCAGACCATAACTCAGTTACAACTGAGAACGGTCTGGTTTTAACCAGGCTAATTTAACAGTGTAAGCTTCAGGAAAATCCTAATTGATTATCAACTATAGAAAAACATTAAAACAGTCTATTGATAAAACCTTCATAATAAGAGCATGTAAATAAGTTGTAAGTTGTGATTCATTTTGACTTTAAACTGATTTATATGTAGAAACAATAAGATCTCAGATAAAACTGACACATTTTTTCCAAAACAAAATATATGCTTATCTTGAAAACTTTAATTTAATTTAGGCTATACGTGTTTAGATTTTAGACCTGTCAGGATGGTTTTCGCAGGAAATTGCGTTCACACGTCACTCGTCTGTGTGTGTCTCCTCATATGTAAATAGAGAAAAGTTGCTCCAGCCACTCTCACGTGTGTATGGTGTAAAATAAATCTCCAACCACCGCGGAATCACCCGTTAAAAAAAAAAAGGTGAACAGAGGAGAGTCTGCTGGCTAAAACAGAACGTGCCAGAGCTTGAAATAAAACAAGAATCAACATTGGCTTGGCTTTTCAGAGATAAGGTGGAAACATCCACTTTACACCATGCAATCAATTCCTGATTTTTGTTTTGTCTTGTTGAATTGTGTAAAAAGTGTAGTTCACCCAATACTGATAATTCTGTCGTCATTTAGTCACCCTCATGTCGTTCCCAACCTGTGCGACTTTATTTCCCTCTAACCACAGAAAAGCATTGCATTATAGAAGGATAATAGGTTGCATGTACAAAGTTAGTGCAGTTAGTACAAGTTAGTTTGATAGAAGGATTTCTTTTGCAGGATCTCTTCTATTACTGTTACAGATGTATCTGAACTTCAACATTTTTAGAAACTTAGTTGGCATTCAAAAAAATCAAACCTTATACTAGCTCCCATTGGAGAAGTGTGATTCGAAACGGTCTGAACAGTGATGTGATTGGCTGGTTTCTGTGCAACCTGCACAAATCACATTACCGGCCAATCACATTCAAGTCTCTTGAAATGTGATTGGCCGGTAGGAGTGTTGTTCCAGTTGGACCTCAGCGTAAGACACCCTGCCAACCACCTTCACCCCTGTGTGGACTTATGCTTGGAAATGTTAATATGTCCTCAATGGATTTTCCTTGGCAAACTAGAGCATTTAAATGCATAAATGTAACTCATCCAGAATAGATTGGAAAAATTCACAACAAAACGAGCTAGAAGAGAGAACAAACTAGCACATGCAGGTTCAGAAGAGGTCTGGTTAAAGCACTTGTCTGAATAAAATAATAATAATAACAACAACAACAATAATAATTATTATTAATCATCAAACGTAAAAAAAAAACGATAAAAATTCTATATATAAAAATTATATTTGTCATTAAGTAAATTAAGCAAATTTGTAGAAATAATAATTGTTTTATGTTCAGACCTATACATAATTGTCATTATGTATAGGTCTGAATCTGGTTAAAGTGCTGTATATAATAATAATAATAACTATTATTATTGTTATTATTATTAATATTATTATTATTATTATCATCACTAAAGGTAAGACATTATATTTATCAGGATTAAGCAAAGTTTTAGAAATAATAATAATAAAAATAATATGGTATTACTTTACTTGAAGGGGTGTGCATAAGACTGACATGACACCTTCATAATCATGACATGACACATGTCATGAATATGAAGGATGTTTTATGCATGTTTATGACAACTGTCATTAACTGTCATTCGCTCAATTATTACATTTTTAATGCAAATATGACATTGTTTGAGATGTCTTTGTTATGACACCTTGACATAAACCAATACATCATAACCTGTCATAAATATGTAATAAACATGACATAGCAGCTTAATTATCAAATTTAAGAAACCACTTAGCTTTATGGGTTAACATTATATTAAACTGTCATGTGGTTGGTTTTGACATTGGCTGTCATGAGGCCATTATAACTGTGTCATGAATATTTGTCTTGACCTCAACTACAGTCGTACAAATTGAATTTATCTTTAAAATGTTTAATGGCCTCATGACAGCCAATGTCAAAACCAACCACATGACAGTTTAATGTAATGTTAACCCATAAAGCTAAGTGGTTTCTTAAGTTTGATAATTAATCTGCTATGTCATCTTTATGACATATTTATGACATGTTATGTTGTCTTAGTAATGTCAACTTGTCATGACAAAGACACTGACAGGTTATGATGTATTGGTTTATGTCAAGGCGTCATAACAAAGACATCTCAAACAATGTCATATTTGCATTAAAAATGTCATAATTGAGCGAATCACACTTAATGACAGTTGTCATAAACATGCATAACACCTCCTTCATATTCATGACACGTGTCATGTCATGATTATGAAGGTGTCATGTCAGTCTTATGCACACCCCTTCAAGTAAAGTGTTACCAATAATATCAACAATAATAATTATTATTATTAATATTATTATATACATGCATAGAATTCACAACAGATCAGTACGAAGAGAGCTCTAAATAGCACAGGCAGGTTCAGAAGAGGTCTGAATCGGCCTTAAACTGTGGCCATAAACTTTTCCCTAACATTCCCAAACAAACACAGACAATCCCAAACGTGGGCCTGCCGCGCTGCACCTGTTAGCGGTTCCTGGCGCACCTCAGAGACTCTCCCCCATTTCAAACAATTCCTCTGGCTCGCAGAGCGTTTGAAAGCCAGCGGCCAACATGAGAATGTTTGTCTGGGAATGTTGGGTTGTGCAAGTCGATTCAGCCCATTTCAACCAAATACATCTTCAGAAAGGGCATTTGTCTTTGGAGAGTTTTATCGTCGTGCCTTTACGGATTGGAAAGAGAGGATGTGTGTCAGGAGTAATTTGTTTGTGGTATCGGCGAGAGAGAAGGAACACTTAATGTTTAAAGCCGGTCGTTGTTTCACATTGTGGGTCTGGCTGCGGCGTGTCGATGTCGTTGTGGTTTGCTGTGCTGAAAAGTGTGTGTATGTGTGTGATGGAGCTGTGGTTATTCACTGCAGAGCAATATGACCTGGATTCAGTCTGTACACTGGGATATTAGTGGCCTTCTAGTGAATATTCGTGGCTGGATGTTACAGAAGAGCTTTGTGTGTGTTTGTTCGAGTCTTATGAACAAATACCGAGGACAAATTTCACCCCATGCAACATCAAAGGTTAAAAACAAGAAATTATATTTAGCATCATGTAAGAAATACCACCACCAACAACAGTTATTATTTGCTTTTTGACATTTTTCTTTATATTTTCAAATTCTTAACACCAAAAATGGTGTTAATTATATTATTTATAATTATAGTCATTTGTAATTTAAATGTAATTATTATTTAATAATAATAATTATTATTATTATTATTTGCATTTTTTTTGTATTTTCAAACATTCTTAAACCATGAAGTTTAAAAAAAATCTAATAACTTATTAGATTTTTACTATGATAACATTATTATTATTATTATTATTAAATCATTATAAATTCAATTTAGCACTATAAATTGCACTATGATCTGGAAATACTTTATTATTAGTAGTACTGTTGTTTTTTTATTTATTTTGCATTATGGTAATGAGTGATTTATAGAATTAATTATTATAATAAGAAGAATTTGGGGGTATAATGTGCTTAATTATCATCACGACACAATGCTCTTAGTTTTTGTTTATCCAAAAAAACTATTTCTTTCTTTCAGATTTTTGTGTGAAATATGACCTGGACATGTTTTTGTGATTCACCTGTTTTTCGCCAGTAATTTGCTGCATATAACAGCATATTTTAGCGCTGTGTCTGAAGCTGTTATATGAGTGTGTCTGCGCGTCCATCTGGTTGAGGGTGTGTTGTGTGTCAGACGTGTTCGGTGTGTGTCATACCGCGGGTGTGTATGAATATGTGTGAGCGTGACCTCTGCGTGTCTGGCTCTAATGGACCGTATGTGTGTGTGTGTGAGAGAGAGAGAGAGAGAGAGAGAGAGAGATGGAGGGTGTGTGTGTTTCCTGTGGGTCGGTGGGATATGTTTTTTTCCCATAATTCTTGCAGGTCTCAGGTCACCCCTGTGTTCTCACGCACATATTTAGCATTCTTTCCTCCTCCAGCATTACCATACACCTTCCTCTGGGTTTGGCCCGACAAATCTTTCCACCACTTCGCCTCCAGAACAGTCTGTTTCTCTCTCGGAATCCTTTGCTTTTCCCGCTGACTCAGCTGAGCAGAGACTGCCGGGATTACAGGTTGTTAGTGACAGTAGTGTGTGTGTGTGTGTGTGTTTTCACTGCTTTAATTACAAGCAACAGGTCCACATGTAATATATCATGTATACATGCACTGTTGGTTTGTTCAGATCACTAACAAGTACATGGACTAACAAAGGTAAATACAGTGAGAAAATGCTGGTCCTAACTCATGAATCGCTGACCATAAGGTTCTTCGTTTCTCTGTTTGATGATAATGATGACTCGCACAACATGTATGTTTTGAAACACGGACACGTTTCTGTAGAGTTTACTGGCTTTGGAAAGGTTTTTGCCGTACACAGAGATAAAATAAATAAGTGAAATTCTTTTATAGTAACAACAATGATAGTAGCAGTCAAAGTAATATCACTTAGTCAGCATTAATCTTTATATATTTATATATATATTTATATTTAGAAAAGGTTTTGTAATGTTTTTCCTTTAATAAGCTGGTATAAGACTTTGGTTCTCCGTTATATTTCCCAGTAGCAGCATTCCACATGGAATCCAAACAGGAACGTTGCTCCTCGTGTCATTTTGTGACGACCCACCCCATCCCATCCCATCCCGCTGTCCCCGCTGTTCAGGTTGTCACTGTCATTGGTCACCATTTGTCTTTGGTCGTTTAGTGTGTTTTTGGTGCAGCTTTGAGAGAGTTTCCTCATTATTGTCTTTTACATTCCAGTTCTGGTCAATTCCGTCCATCCAGCAATGGCCTTCTTTTGTTATAAGTCACGTATGATTATATCCCTCATGGTCTTTAATGCAACCTGAAATACGCCATCACACACACTTATACAGCATTACATTCATTCGTTCATTAGCTTTAAATGAATAGTTCAGCCTAAAAGGAATATTCTGTCATTATTTACTCGCCTCACATTAACAGTTCATAGTGACCACGTCTCTCATGCTCCAAAAATGAACAAAACACTATAACTGTGGGCCTTGTCTTGTGCACTATCTTTATATATCTGAAGTCATGATGATTTGCGCAAGCCAGGAAATGAAATTTCACCCTATCTATGAACAATTCACCCATGTCTAGGTTTAATTTTTTTTTATCTCGTAATGTTTAATCAAAAGTCATAGCTAGATTTTCCTGATGAAACGACAGACTTCTCCGCAGGATTCTCCAATTATTTAGTGTGCTTAAACTCCGCCCCTGCAAGTGAGAGCCACGCCCACATCTCAACAGCCAATCAACAACTGATCAACAATAATCTCAGATGTACATCACAATACAGAAGAAAATACATTTGATGCTACTTGTTTCCAACCTTCAAACTAGGATAGATACTATATTCAAATAATTAAATAATTAAATATTTTAGCGCTCGATATAACTATAAAAATGTTTTCATTATAGAAATATTTGTTAATTTCCATGACTTTTCCAAGTCTAGAAATCACACGTTTGAATGTACATCACAATACGGAAGATTGATCGTTTCATTGCAAATTTAAGTTATAATTGTCTATTGAGCTGTTGTTGTATGGACAAGAGCTATGCATTTGTTAAGTTATTATAATAATAATAATAAAACATTCATAATTAATAATAACTTTTGCTGCATGATTTCGAATGACCTGGAATATGATGCATGTGTGGGATGGATCATTGTTATGGTGTTTTTTGTGCTTTCGAGAGCTTGACGAACATGATCACTATGAACTGTTGTGTGAAAAAGAGACACATCAACCGCAAACAAGTTTAGAGTGACATGAGGTGAGTAAATGATGCCCAAGTTTCCATTTTTGGCTGACCGTGTCCTTTAAGTCAGGTCTTATCCAAGGAGCACTCCCATATAACAGTAGCCTTTCTCTTATCTGTTTCTCTCTTGGATGTCCATGTCTTTCTTTCTTTCTTTCTTTCATTAATTCTTCAGGTGTATCTGCTCCTCTCCCTTAGGCGGGATCACGTCCAAGTCTTGTCTTAGGAAAATTGCAACACGATCAGCATCTACAGGCCAACGTGGTTGTGTTTTGTTGCGTGTCTTCATTGGATGTCCAGCCTAACGCTTCCTCCGCCCGAGCGCTGGGCCGGCCGTTTGCTTGTGTTTGCTTTGGTTAGTCATCTCCGTGTCAGAAGTGAGCTGTCGTAAACCACAGCTCTGGTGTAAATTAGCTAGTATTTATTATTAGGGTTGTAGAGGTCCAACCCAGTGGAATATAAAGTGATGCCATGGCATTGTCTGGTCAAACAAGACAAGACGGTCCTGCTTTGCATTAGCAGTGTCATTTTCACTGGACTGTGGAGTAGGACTGTCTTTTTGTTTATTCCTAGTCCTCATGTAAACGTTAGCAGTGGGATATTGGCGTGCGCGTTAGCGTGGCCGCGCGGCACGCACTCTCTTGCTCCTCTTGCTGACGGTGGTGAAGCGGAACGGCATTAAGTCCGGCTGCTCTCCGGGCGGGAATCGCTTCATGAAGTGGACGTCCTGCTGGTTGGGAAGCGTGTGCGGACCACGGCGAGGGCGCCCTTTTTTGGTGAAGCCCACGTACCACCCTGTGTAGCGTGCTGACATTAGCGCCGTGTAGTTGTTTTCCAGAACCTTCTCTATGAAGACACAGTCTGCGCTACGATTGCTGGCCTTCTGGGGAGAGAGAAAAGTCCATATACACATACGGAGACAAACACACACAAAGAAAGAGAGGGGTGCATGTGTTAGCTTGATCATGAACATTATATGTTTAATGCATTTAAAGACCCCAAAATTGGACTTAATAGTCACAAATATCCATGTTTGTTGATCATCTATATTAGTGGTTCTCAACCTTTTCGATTTCATGTGGGCTTAGGGTGTGTTCACACTTAAAGCTGCAGTCGGCAAGTCTGGCAGATTGAGTGGATTTAGGCAAAATTTTGAATGTTTACAACTCTCATGCCCCTCCCCCACTATCAACGAATACCCTCCCACCGAGTTCGTGCTCGTCAGTGCGTGTGCACCAGATTTTCAGTGAACGCGCCCGTCTCATCAGCATCCATCAACACCATGGATTATTCGGAGGTATGCTGTCCTGGCTAATCTACCGATAGATTGCAATTGCTAACGTCATTTATACTCTAAATGAGCTTACTTGATTTTCCGCCATCACTCTTCGTTACTGCGCGAACTTCAGGCGTGTGCATGTGATTGTAACGTGCGCGAGGGGTGGCGTGTGCCCGATCTGTGATTGACAGTCAGATCTCACACCCCCCTGCGCTGATTGGACCCGATGATCCGGGAGCTGTGGATTTTTGCAAAACAAATAACACGCTCCAGGTGGAGTTAGAAGCTCAGGTTTTTTTCTAAAACCACTTTATTTATGTTGTTCTGTCGGATTATAGTGTCGATTTCACTGTATATGATCAAAAAAATGTCGCCGACGGCAGCTTTAAAAATTTAGTCCTGGTCCGCTTAGCGTTCACATTGGCATTTTAGCACCGAACCTAAAGATACGGAACCTAAAGGGATAAAGATAGGGATAAAAACCTAATCGGCTTTTATTACGTATATTTCGCAACGGAACTTACCGAACATTCAAAACAATGCTGATGTGTTCTGGGCTAAATGTGCTTGCTGTATGTGTGTAGCCTGCATTAGATGGTATTTTGACCGGCTGAACTCGTGAAGAAGAGATAAAATGTGTAAAGGAGTCAAAACAGCGTCACACCCTCCGTCACTCCGTCACACACAAACGAAGATCTTCCGCGAGGAGACGCGGTTCTGACGCCTGAACTGTGACGAGAACAACAGGTATGCTTGAGCATTCTGTACTTTTTAGAGTCGCTTCTTCTGACATCATGTCCCATTTTTGGTTTGTGTACATGTCTTTGGTCCGTGTTGCGTTCATATTTCATTAGAACCGCACAGTCCGCACTGTTGATTCGATTTGGAAGCGGATCGAGACCCATCTTTTCAGCGGGTTCGGTCCACTTGTTTGGTGGCACCAGGGTTCAGACGGCAGCGTTCACACTTATTTAAATGAACCGCATTAACAGAGCAATCAAACCAGGGTTCGTTTTAATCCAATAAAACATGCCAAGTGTGAACACATGCTTAGATGCACTGATACCTTAAGCTACTTTAACACGGTCCGTTTTGGGGATTTGACAACCGCATTTCCTTACAGATCTGAGTCACGAAATGTCTTGTTCACACAGCAACTTACAGTAGCGTCTCGAATACTGTGTGTATGAACAGGAGTCAAGTAATATCAAAGATGGCGACCTCAATAAAACTTAAAATCGCGTTTGCCACGACAAGAGTCCAATCGAGCCGTGAGTTCATCCAACAAATCTTCATTAACCGACAGCAGCTTTAATATCTGGCTGGAGAGCGGAGCATTTGAGTCGCGTGTAGGACACAGAACTGGCAGGAGCTGCTCCAGTGGAGAACCAGGACTGGATCTAAAACCTTCAGACATCTCCGTCGCTGTAAGCTACCGAAACCACATACGGAAACCCGCATTTGTGCAGCGTAGAACAGCTTTCTCCCACTGTATGACGTGACAGACAAGGGGCTGCGTTTCCTGAAAGCGTCGTAAGCCAGATCGTAGAACCCTTGGGAAACGCAGCCCAGTCCGGTTCCGGTTTTCCGAGAATGCGGTTCTCCTGTAAATAACTATTGCTGTGTGAACGTGGCCTATGTGTGAACATAAACAAGGACTTAAATACAGGACTAACACCCGTATTCTGCTGCTGTGTGACCGTGGTCTTTTCCATATTTGTTTTTACAGGTGTTATTTTGAGTTATACATATTGCATTGTGTGTTAAAGGGGTCATATAATGGTACATGCACTTTTACAAGTTGATTGTACTGAAATGTGTGTTGGCAGTGCCTGTACACAACCATCATAAAATGGTAAAAAATCCATCCAGTGTTTTTGTTTTAATCTCCTTATATGTTTTCCCCTGCCTCAAATCAAGCCGTTCGACCGTGTGACGTCACAAGCTCGGAAGCCCCTCCCACGGTTGTTGATTGACAGCAGCGTTTCAACACAGACCCGCCCTCGCTCGTGAGCGAGCTGTCAATCATAGTCTGCGCGGACCGGCGCGGTCATTGTTGATATGTTGGAGCACTGTCTGTCTATGAGCAGAATGGCGTCTAAGCGATTGTGGTGTTCTGTTCTTGGGTGTAATAACGAACACAGAAGTCATTTTAATGTTCCTAAATCCGAACCGCTGAAGACGCAGTGGCTGAGTTTGTTTTCGAAGGGAATATTCCCCACGAGCAACGTCAATGCTCTCATGTTTGCGCGAATCATTTCACACCAGACTGCTTTATAAACGAGGGTCAGTATAAAGCTGGTTTTGCTAAGAAGCTGCACCTGAAAAAAGGATCTGTACCAGCTATTCGTGTTCCTGCTGAACCTCTGTCTAGAACAACTGAAGTGAGTGTAACGTTTTATTAAACTTTATATTAATATTTATAATAATCTTTGCAAATCGCTAGCTGCACACTTCACAATGAATGCGTCTAAGGTTTACACTTAGGGTACATTACGGCATGTTTTCTATGTATGATGTTCTCAATATAATTCATAATCCCACGTTTATACTGAACAACGCGTTATGGTTATTGTGTTATTGTGTTACAAACGGTGTACGCACAGAACAGAGAGGCGGGGTGAGCAAAGCTCATTATCATTTAAAGTCATATGCACTGAAACGGCGTGCTGAAAACAGCTTTTTATTTTTAAGAATTTTTAAGAATTTTTAATTAAAGTATATTACAAACTTTTAATTTAGACCCTAAAGAATCATACTAGCTTGTACAAAAATGGCATTATATGACCCCTTTAAAGGAAATGCACGTAAACGTAGAAACGGAATATATATACAGAATATACGTATACAAAGTGACAAGGCTTATTCTTATGTATTAACTTCTGTTTCAATACAGGAAAGAAACAAAGTGAAGGAAGTGTGTTTCACCTTGCCTACGAGCTTTCCCCTGCGGTTCATACACAGGTAATAGTTGGTCTCCTTCCCTCGGATTCGCACCTGGCTGCCGAAGGTGTCTGCCTCCACTACGAGCTGGGCTTGTGAAGAGACAGGCAGAGAGACAGACAGACGTTACTAAAATATCACGGTGAGCTCTGGTTTTGCAATGACGTACATAATTAAGGTTTGTAATCTGATGTGATGGCTCTGTTTCAGCAGCTGCCTTGACTGGAGAGAGGGGATAGATAACCTGATTTAAGCCAAATAAATAAAAGCTCAATATAATTGACATCAGCGGTTGACAGAGGTATAGATAACCATCACACTCATGCTTATCAGTCTTTTCTTATTATTTCTGACTATGTTTGAAATGACATGCTAGCATACATGCTAACTGCATTGTATACTGTGCCTACTGGTTAAAAACAAAACAAAATGCAACAATACCAGAATATTTTCAGTTTCTATACGGATTTTTTCTAAGTTTATTTAATAAACAAATCTAATGAATATAATTGTAGCTGTTTTACCTTCATTTGATTTAAAGCATTTTGATAATATATATATTAAATATGCATCAATATTTTATATAGTGCTACACTGTTGTCACATGACTCCATTACATTGCATGTTTTTTTATTTGACATCCAGTTAACGTTTTTTTACATGTTAAATCCAATTTTCTGTACAAATGTTTTAACTTTCTGCAGTCTGATCAAATAATGTGAGTAAAGACAAAGGTGTTAAAAAGATTGGCTTCACTTCCGGTTCATTGTAATGCATCATGTTGGCAGTGGTGGGTGATAGAGATTTCCATGCATATTCCAGACAATATTCATAATGCACGGCACGCTGTAGAAATACTACGAGTAGTGTTGTACTACGCTCTTCTGAACATAGCCGCTCTGTCACTTGATTTTAAAAACCTCCATTTCACGCTATATTTCACTGAGGTCATTCAGCCTGTGTATGTGTGTGTGTGTGTGTGTGTTTCAGGATATGGCAGTTGAAGCTCTGAAATGGCTCCTTGCGTGACCTTTATGAGCGCAGGGGTCACTGGAGATCAATAACCTCTTTGTCGTCCTCCAATCTCTCCTCATCCAGACATCCCTCACTCGCTGTGTAAATACATTCATCCTCATCCCCCTTCCCATCTCCCTGTCTTTCTCTTCCCTTTATTTCCTGATGAGGAGAGTCGATCATAAAAACCCGGAAGCATTCAGAACAATATTTTCACAATAAAAAAATTAAAGCATTATGAGGACTAATCTCACAAAACCTGTCAAGATCACGTCAAGGTCATTTATTTACTCTGGAGAAATGAGTAAAAATTATATTTTACTTAATTAAAATGAAACTTGTTTTAGGACAATTAATAATTTTGATATTAATTTAGAGAGAATTAAGTCCATGTCAGTCCATTTTCTCATTCAGTTGTGTTCTGATTAATGCATTGAGGGAAAAAAAAAACTATGATAAATTATTTCAATTTAAAGTATTTATAAATAATGGTTAGTATTTGCTGTATTACATTTCATTTAGACTGTCTTAAATATAATGTTGATTTACAATATTTGTGTATTATAATACATTAATATATATATATATATATATATATATATATATATATATATATATATATATATATATATATATATATATACATTATACTTAAACATGAATGTATTTCTACGTATTTCGTATTATTTATTAAGTAACATTTGCTACAACTGCTAGATTTTTCTGAAAATGTCACAATGCAAAAAACTTTTTCTTTCTCTTGCTTTTTAAAAAATGATTATTTCTGTGGCTTTTTGATGTTTTTGTGAGATTCATCCATGAATGAAACCGGCCCGCTGTTCGATTTGAGCGCATATATCCATTTTCAACTTCCTTGCCCTTTAAATGTACATCCGAGACCATTGAGAGGAGGAGAGGGGGATGGATGAATGGATGGATGGGGGAGAACTGAAAGGTTTTTCCAGTAGCCTATAATGATATGTGGAGGTCGGGCGGCTGACGGCCACAATTACATTCATTTAAACTCAAAATTCACAATTTATTTTGAAAACAGAAAACGTGCAATTGTTTGGTAAATATTAGAATGGAAACAAGTGGGAATTTCGGCTAGTTGATAAAAATAAAACTTTAAGAAGAAAAGGATCTATATAGAATCATAAAGGGTTCCGCCAGCCGCTTCATATAGAACCTTTTAGAGGTTCCATCATCAGATCGGTTTATGGATTTAGTTTTAATGAATTCATTTAGTTTTAATTCATTTTTTTATTTTGATTAAATTTTATGAATTAAACAGCATGTAAACATACTTTATCACTAGAAAAATTGAAACAACCTGTTAAACATTAAAAAGTATTATGCAATAATTTAAGACATTTCTCCCTATATGGAATCTTTTTGGCATAAAGTGTTCTTTTAAATTGAGACAAGAACACTAGGGTTCAATATGCCATACTGAACCTTTAAGAGTGAGATGTTTTTCTTGGAATTTCAACAAAAACCTACAAGAAAACAGAATTCATTGGCGTCTTTTTCTCTCTCCCTGTCTGTAAATCACTGTATCAGCAGTAGCTGAGTCTTTGTCTTCTACTTTTCCTGTTTCCTGTGTGTGTGTCTGTCTGTGTGTGGCCAGTCTTTCTCATGTGTGTTTGCTAGAAGAGTGAGACATACATGTGTGTGTGTGTGTGTGTGTGTGTTGTTACCATATTTGTCTCCGTCCTCTCCGCGGGCGCTGATCTTGCGTCCGAGCACCTGGACGTGTTTGCCACTGGTGCGGCTGTATAGCTGGTACACGCGATGATGTCGCCGGCTCATGGCGTCTCGTGCACGAGTCTGATTCTCCACGTGCACACTAAAGTTCACCCCATCCACTCCAAACACCTGCAGGCAACAGACCACACACACATCCTCATCCACTCTTTCTTCCCTTCTTAATCTGACATTTTTCTGTAGTGAAATCATTGTAAAAACTAAAAAGTACCATGCTATGACCTATAGTTTGACTTTATAGTGTGTATTGTTAATGCAGGCATTTCATATCATATCTCAGTGTTAGTTCATGTTAGCTACACTATAAAAAATAATTTTCGAAGTTGTAAATAAAGATTAATGGAGTACGTTTTTTCTACTTCAGAATTTCATGTTTAATTCAATGTGTTACTTGTGGTTTCATAATTGTTTGTGAAATTCACAAGCAATTTCTGAGTAAAAAAAATTGTTTCGACACAAAACTACTGTTATAATGTTATCGAATGCGACCGTATCAAGTGTAAGCAAATTAATGAAAATGTATGATTATTAAGAAGACAAACATATTTGAAATAACATGCACTGATAAATCGTGCACAATAAGACCAGGAATGTGTATTAAACAGTCCGTTTTGTTTGATGTTGAGCAGGTGAACTCACCTGTAGAGGATTACACATGACCAGCATCATCTGGATATACCTGAGGAGAGAGAGAGAGAGAGAGAGGTCAGGTGAGTGCTACTGCTACCATGGTAACAAAAACAAATCCACCCTGCATCCCAAAGCCCTGCTGACGGCAGATCCACAGGGAAAGGGATGTTATCATTAACATCTCAAGAGCTTGAAGTTTATGTAAAGGCTAATGTACAGTCAGATGCTCATTATCACAAATAAACCTTGACTCGGGTCTTATATCCTACTGAAAGCGTTTGTTTATCCCACTTATAATGCTGCTGCTTATCAAATAAAAAAATAAACACCTTATGCAAGATATCAGATTCATTAGAAGCTATAGGGAAATAGCTAGAACAATGACAAAGTGCAGTAAACTGAAATCTGCTCTACAAACCAATGATGTGATGATAAATACCAGTTTGCAATATAAAGCAGCATAATGGACTGTCTTTGTACAGGTAACATAACTGGAAACGAATGACACAGGAAGACTCGAATGACCAAATGTCCGATCGCTCTTACGTTAAAAATAAGGTGGATATAAGTTATATATGATGTGACTTCAGCTTCTAAGAACCCCGGGAAATGTGAAAAGGTCCATTGCTTACAATAAGATCTATAGCATGCATTTAGAAAATAGATGAATTTGCATTTCATGCTGATTTTCAGCTACTTTCCCTTCTTGGTTTAATCTCCACATGTTGTTGGAAAAGGGAAAACCCTGACATTTGAAGCATAACTCAGATTTTCATGGAAACTTGGACGTCCGTGGGTGTGAGTACGATTTTAAGCGCATATGAGCGAGTGGATGAGGGCAGCGCTGCACGGCCCACGGTTAAGTTCTCCATCACCACAGGCCCTTTTCTGGCAGGGGACTGTGACTTTGAAATCGAACAGGCCCGCAGGACGGATCAGTGCGTCTGCTCAACATAAGTCAGTGTGAAAAGTCCGATGTTATGACAGCCAAAGAGGAGACCACAGGCCCCAACGGGACTAACGCCTCTGCAAACTCCAAACTATAGAAACCAGTGGAGGAACAGCTTTCACTTCTGCTCAAATACACTTGAAGGTGACGTGTTTATGTTTTCTGATGTAAAAACACTTTCTCCTATCCCAGCTAAATATGTAGAGACCACTATAAGTAAACCATTCGCAGCGTAAAACTGTGAGACGGATTGTTTGAGCTTCAACCAATGAAGCAGTATTGAACTAAATTGAATCAACATTGAGCTGAATAACGACCAATGTCTTCTGTAGAGCTGCTTTACATCTGAAACTGTAAATCATTTCATACTCTTAAAAATAAAGGTTCCAAAAGAGGGTTTTTTTCCATAGAAGAACCATGTTTGGTTCCCGAAAGAACCTTTCAGTGAACAGTTCTTAAAAGAACTATGTTAGTCTTAGTGTGAAGGACATTAAAACAAACCTAAAGAACCTTTTTCCACAATAAAGAAGTACAATGGAACGGAACCAAAGGTGTTAACGGTTCTACATGGAACCTCGATGCCAATAAAGAACCTTTATTTTTAAGAGTGTTAATGAATTTTGCAATTCTGTGAAGAAGCTTTGAAACAATCCTGTATTGACTTGTAAGGACTATCTGTTCCGGACTGTTCGGGAAACCTGTTTGGAAACAATATTTTTGCAATTGCTTTTTGCAGAAATAACATGCTTCTCCTTCAAATGCAATTAGATGTTTTTGTTTTAGAGTTTAAAATGGTTTAGCATAATTAATCAAACACAATGCTGTTGGAAAGGAGAATTCATGTCAGTATTAACTGTTAAGTCCTGAAGTGCTTCCCATTGATGTGAACACAACGCAACTAAAATTCCTTAGAAATAAGACCAGACATAAATGACTCAATAGTTGTCAATTGTCACACAGTAAGAGTATAAAAGCATTTGATCATGATTTTATATTGAAATCATATTGAGATCTCTGACTTTGGTATTAAATGTGAGATCACTGGGAAACATCTGAGGAGCAACAAAGATCTCCCTTTTCTTTTATTTATTTGGCTGCTCTGAAGATATTAACCTACTGCAAATCCTCTAAATCATCAACATGATCAAAACTTTCTGAAAAACCTGTTGTACACAATCTACTACATGCCATCTGTCGTCTGATTGATAGTTCATACTTTTCTTTTTTTTCGCAAGTAAAAAGCCTTTTAGAATAATTGTACAAACGTCCTCCTTCGGGTCGTGGTTCACGTGTCTTTTTGCTGTGAAATCCTTGCTGATTTTTATAAAGTACATGTAAGAATAACTTATATTGTTAGTAAAATTTCAAGATGAACACTTACTGGACTGAAACAACCTGATTAACCATACATTACTTTTTTTAAGTGTTAAAATGTGAGTATCAAATATGATCCATCAGGCTTTAAGTAAGGTTTATTTGTTCATCTCGCAATCATCATTGTATGGCATTGCATTATATATATATTTTTTTATTTACAATTACAGAGCTTTAATAAAAAAACTAAGCATTTAAATATCATCTTACTCATATTATTTGAGCTATACTGTTATTAAGATCTCATTGATTTACATTACATGAAGAATTACGAACATAATCCGAATTTCAGGGCACATAAATATATGCATATTTGTGCTCAGTTTGGGCCTCTGAATAAAACTGAGGTGTTTTTTCCTACATATTCTCATCAGACTATATGAACCACAAAAACCTGATGTATCAAATATGATACTCAACAAAAAACACATGCAGACATAAAAAAAACATATTTTGTCAAAATGTTCAAGAAACTCTTCCTTTTAAAGAAAAATTGTGACAGAAAAATCTGTCAATTATTTTTTGTCAAGCTTTACAGGGTTAATGAGAATCTCCATTGTGATTTTTCTTTAAAACAAATACATGCAGGCCAGTGGACTGATGCTGAGCTCATGCAGAAGTCTACCGGATGCTGGTCAACACCTGCTCAACAGAAGAGGTAGAGCTTCAGTTTTATGCATTTGCCTGTAGATGTGGTTTGCAAACAGATTTTAGAAGTTCTGATGCCACATGTGTCATGTTTGGGATGTTAGGCATTTTCCCATGCAGAACTCACTGTCGTGATACTAAGGTGTTGCTATAAGGTTACTAAAGCGTGGATGGTTTTAGCACATTGATTTGGTTTGCTCTGTAATCTGGTCTCTAGATATGGCTCAGTGTAAGTGGGATTTTCTCAGCTGTTTTATCATCGACCAGGTGAAAACCTTGAGTTTGATTACTTAAAGTAACAAAATAAGTGTCTGTTGCACAGCGGTATGAGAAGCGTAATGTGTAACGTTACTGTATCTTTGAATGTGTTTGTTTAATGCAGGGTATTTATCGTTTACTAAAACTGAAACCATAAAAAAATATGTCTATCATGAACTTAAAACCTATATAGGCATTTAAAAACACTTTACTAAAAGCCTTTAATTTATAATGCATTATAAAGTTATTCATAACGTACATATAATGCATTATAATATTTGCAGATTCCCTGCACATCTGAAGTCGTTTGCTAGTCATGTGTTTTAATGCATTCTATATTAAAGGGATACTCCACTTTTTTTGGAAATAGGCTCATTTTACAACTCCCCCAGAGTTAAACTGTTTAGTTTTACCGTTTTTGAATCCATTCAGCCGATCTCCGGTTCTGGCGGTACCACTTTTAGCATAGCTTAGCATACATCATTGAAGTGGACAAGACCATTAGCATTTCTAAAAAAAAAAAATTACCAAAGAGTTTCGATATTTTTCCTATTTAAAACTTGACTCTTCTGTAGTTACATCGTGCACTAAGACCGACGGAAAATGTAAAGTTGCGATTTTCTAGGCTGATATGGCTAGGAACTATACTCTCATTCCTGCGTAATAATCAAGAAACTTTACTGCCGTACCATGAGAGCAGCAGGCGTAATGATATGACGCAGCGCCTGAAAATAGGCCACCTTCCGTCAACACAACGGAACTATTTTCAGGCGCTGCGTCATATCATTACGCCTGCTGCTCTCATGGTACGGCAGTAAAGTTTCTTGATTATTAGTCAAGTCAAGTCATCTTCATTTATATAGCGCTTTTAACAATGGATTGTTTCAAAGCAGCTTTACAGAGATAAACATATAATTTAAGGTAACAGATTGTTTTGGCGTTATAGCGGTTCTTGAATAATTCTTGAATATTACGCAGGAATGAGAGTATAGTTCCTAGCCATATCAGCCTAGAAAATCGCAACTTTACATTTTCCGTCGGTCTTAGTGCACGATGTAACTACAGAAGAGTCAAGTTTTAAATAGGAAAAATATCGAAACTCTTTGGTCATTTTTTTTTTTTAGAAATGCTAATGGTCTTGTCCACTTCAATGATGTATGCTAAGCTATGCTAAAAGTGGTACCGCCAGAACCGGAGATCGGCTGAATGGATTCAAAAACGGTAAAACTAAACAGTAAAATGAGCCTATTTCCAAAAAAAGTGGAGTATCCCTTTAAGCGTGTTCAATGAATAATTATAATCAAATGTATTATAACTGTGGTTACAATACTCATGAGATCATACATTGCATTATAAGGTACAATACAAGGCATAATTAATGCATTAATAATACTTTTATAATGCATTATAAATAGTAGTCTTACCTATAAATAATAAAAATGACTAAAACGCATGAAATGAAAAAAATGACATCTATATCAAAAACTATAATAGGATATCAATGATATTAAAATAACAGTGATGGGTAAAATGACACTGGTTGTGTTTCACCTTCATATTCTCTTTATTTTCTCTCTCTCACACAGCTTGTGCACACATTTCTCTGTCTTTCCCTCCCTGTGTGCTTCTTGGCAAATGTTTGGTGAAAACAGTGAATCAGATATCGCTCTCTCTCTGGGTGGTGTGGGTGTGGTCAGTGTGATGTCACTCATTGAGAAGGCGACGGTGGGTGTGAACAGAGAGGAAAAAAAGCGGAACACATCACTTCCTCCTTATCGTCTCGCCAGTGACCCCGCGACCTCCCCATGACCGAATGTCTGAGATCATGAGCGTGTGGGTGTGTGTA